ATAGCTATGACTGAGCATAGACTATAAAGACTCTACTCACCAAGCATATGAAGGAGGTGTACTTGTGCAACGATTGCAAACGATACAAACCCTTCGCCTGGGTGGTGATTTTGATCTGCGGGAAGCTTCGTTGTCATCCTTGTCTTGTAAGGCAGTGAGGCCATACGAGCCCAGTTGGAACGAATTGGATCCACTGACTGTGGAGTACAAACGATGAAACAAAGCCTCAGACATCGCAGGAAGAGTTTCTCCTTCGGAAAACGTGAGAACTGTGAGAACTGTGAGAACCATAGAAGTCAGGGTGGAATCTTTGCTTTGAGCTGGGCTGGTTGAAATTAGTGATGTGATCCCGATGGCGCTTCCCATGCTTAGCTTCGATTTTGATGCCTCAGGTCATTAGAGGCATGTCCGAAAGACCAAGCACCGACACAATGCATCACTTGTACAAGTCATATAATGAGGCATATATCACAAGCGGTTTTCCGGTTTGAATCCAGCAGGGTATGAGTGCAGAGCTCAAGTGGTCAGGTCGGTTTAAAAAGTCACCATCCTCAGCGAATTTTTCAAACAGGATCACATTAAGGGGAATCGGACTGCAGTGACTGCAGTGACTGAAGTGACTGCAGTGATAGGGTCACAGCGCCGGGATGAGTTTTGACCCACGAACGATTCGTCTCACTCGACAATTTCTGAGAAGTGCCATAGTGCCATAGTGCCATCGGCCATGAAAGGCCATTGATTCCATTGATCTACAGCTTCAGCTTCCATGTCGCTGTCGTTCCTGCTGGAAGCTTCCAGCAGAATGTATTGTGACTGCCAGTTTCAGCCAAGTGTCTCCCCTGTCTCCACTACGTCGATCTGGCTGCCAAGACAACTGCCATCCTGGTATCTCAGTCCTGGGGAGAAACCAACACACAATGCATTCCCAGACCTCTGAAAATGTGCCAAAAGTGCCATGTGGGGCTCAGTCTGGCCGCATGGCAACTTGCAGAACTTGATTTGAGCACAGGCAACTTGCAGAACTACCCAGCGCCACCAGCGCCACCAGCACCAGTTGCTCCGCAGCTTTGCCCATCGGTACTTCACCCGGTGGGCTAACTGAGGTGTTGACAGAGGTGAGGTGCAGCCAGTCAGGTAGGTCGTCAAAAGAGGTGTAGGTCATTGTCGGCATGGTAGATTCTGACTGCGGTTGGCCATTTTCACAACGGTTTTGATTCATTTGATCATCTTTGGTCCCCAACAGTTTGTCGACCCTTAAGTTATCCTGGACGGCTTTCGGCAAAGGATGCTGTTCGTGCCATGGCAACCGCAGAAGCCGTCCATCTACGCCTCACTCCGCCAAGCTATAACACGGCACCACCATTAGCTACGCCACATTGAACCAAGGACATTTCCCATGGTGACAGATACGCAAAATACGCAAGATTCAGGTAGAGGTGGAGGATCTGTGGGATTGAAACTTTTAGTTCAGCACACTGCTCCTCTTCATCGCTTCCAAGGCACTGATCGAAATCCTTGGGATGCCAGTCATGTCAGAATCGAGTAATCGAAGGAGTCCGAAAAAGCGAAGAGGCGAAGATAAGGTCAGCTTCTGAGTCGACATCACCAACTCGCCAAACTCGCCCCAGAGGATTGTTCCGTTTGTTGCCGTCACGGCGGGATTTCAGGTCGGCACAACTTGGAGATCCATCGCTGTGATGCGATGGAAGTGCGAAGCTGTAAAAGAGGACTTGGAAAACATGACTTGACAAATTTGACAAGCGGAGCTGGCACTTTCAACTTTGGTTTCCTCGGATTGGTTTTGCAAGGTAGTGGTCCACACTTTTGCCCAGGTGGGAATGTGAATGCCAACATTCGTGAGGGAGAAACTGCTTTTACCTTAGCGCCATTCACGGGTTTTGTGGCTGAAATGCGACTGCGTCAATCCATGGGTGGTTCTATGGGTTCAGCGAGTTCAAGTACAAGTGATGTTTGGTGGGTGGTGTGTAGTTTGCACGGCCTGGTGCAAGGTGGTGGTTTGGCTATGTCCCAAGTGGTAGACTTCCGGGTCTGCGACGCCGAAGCCAGCATTTCTTTGGGAAACTTGTCACGTGGGGCTGTGCCCTGCATTCTGCTGTCCGGGACACTGCCATTGATTTTCAAATCTCTGGCAGAAGCGATGGCTTTTTATTTGGAGGATGTGATTTTGGACAGCAGTGCGGCCTTAGTTTTGGATTTGGTTCAGGAGGTGCAACCCACTGTGTTGGCCACGAAGGAGGCAGCCTTTCGCCAAGCGATGGAGACACTTCCTACAGCTGCATGGCAGATGTCGGTGTTGCGACCTGTGGTGGATGTGAACCGCTTCGCACAAGAGGCCTACGCCCTGCAACTGTCCTTGAAATGTGGTGAAGCCTTTCAAACCGTGACGACTCAGTGACGCCGTGACAGACAAAGAGGCTGTTGAGACTGTTGAGGTACCCAAGAAAGAACATCCAATGCGCAGGAGACGTTGAGATACGTCTCCAAACCCTCCAAACCCTCCAAACCAGTTTCCACTCCTGACAGAGATCTCCAAATTCCTCTGCCTGCACTACCTGTGTTGCCTTCAATGCCATATCCGGTGATATGGCAGAAAACATCCCCGATGTTGCGGGAAAAAGGGCGAAGAGTAACCAAAGGGGGGAAAAAATAGATGAATACAATGAATACAGGAGTTGGGCCACTTCCACACCTAGGACTTTGACCAAAGATTTGACGCACACAAGGATTTCGCCGCTGGCAGGATAAGTTCTCTTCCACGGCTGCTGGAAGTGATGGTTCCACTTCAAAAAGCCTTAGAATGTTTCGGTAGGTCGTACCAGCACCCTGGGAGTTCACGGAAAAGCAGTATTGTCAGCCCAGCTTCATGGGAAAGGAACATTGAAAGCACTTGAACACCAAGCCAGTAGTGCTAAAACTCAAAAAGGGTTTGCCTTAAGGCACATCCACATTAGTGCTTTGTATCGGGCTCCAAAGTCAAAGCGAACGGTTGCAACTCTGGAGGACAGATTAAGGTGCTCAGACACAACCTAGTTTCATTGAATGGGTTTGAAGAATGAACATTTGCAAAGTGCACTTCGGCTTTCAGAACTGCTGTGCTTGAATTCAAGCCAGGGAAAGTGAACCGGTCAGTCTATAGCCCCCTATATCAAACGGTAAGGCCGGTAAGGCCGGTAAGGTTTCAGGTGAGATTTTGGCCATTTCAATTCCCCGAGCACCAAGGGCCATCGGTCTGAGCAAGGATACGATAGAACCGTGCCAGGATTGAGCCTCCCATTTTGCAGAGCCTCAGATTGAGCAAAAAGATGAATGAATTGGGAGAGACTTCGCAAACTTTGATCTTAACAACGTCTTGGAAGAGACATTATCTTGACACATGTCACAGGTCTGATAAAACACCAAAGAAAAGTCTCGATGAATCAATTGGGTCAAATAGGCTAAGTGTGAGTAGTGTGAGTATCCCTAGGCAGCTCAGCTTCCAAAGCCACGCTGCGTAAGCTACGTGGTGTCGGTTTCCTGGGCCTTGCGATCCCCTGTGGGTTTCCAACCCCGGGTGTTTCTGCACGACTGGACCGGCCAGGGATCCACAGGATCCACTGAAGCTGTCCCGAAGCAACGACCGCAACTGTTGACCCGCGCCGTGTTTGCCAAGTGAGGAACTCTGTGGCCGGGGACATGCGAGGACCACGCATCCAGCAAATTCCAGCAAGTATTTCTGATGCGTCTGATGCTTCTCATGCAAAAAGATACCAATCAACTGTCACCGCAGTTTCTGAGACAGCCGTCAATGGTTCTGAGACAGATGGCTTGGAGCTGGCCATTTGTTTGCAGGGCAGCGGACCTCATTTTTGTCCTGGGGGCAATCCAAATGCCAGACGCAGATCAGGAGAAAGCATCCTCCAGGTGGAGCCTTTCAGTATGTTCTTAGCCATTTTGAGATTGAAAGAGTTTGGTGGTCCAGTTGCTGTGGCTTTACAAGGTCTTGTTTTGGGAGGTGGTTTAGCTATGGCCATGCTGGCTGACTTACGTGTCTTGGATGCGAATGCCAGTGTATGTTTTGGAAACCTTTCCCGTGGCATGGTTCCTTGCATGCTTTTGTCCCTTCATTTCGCTCTGGGGTTGGCAGAAGCTTTGGATTTGTACCTCACCGATGACATCGCGTCTGCGGCTACTTGGCAACAATTCACCGGCGACACTTTGGTGGACGGTGTCCTGGAGGCCAAGACCGAAGCCTTCGGTGCACTGCGACGGATGCGTCAGTCGTACGTGGCGACGCAGTTGACGCAGTTGACGTTTGACAACTTCCAGCTGCGCTTTGCCCGGGAGGCACAGGCATTGCAGCTGAGCTTGAGGTGTGAGTCATCACCACTGGTGACCACCACTAGGGATGGATTGGTTGACGTTCCGGACTTCAAAACCTTGAATCATGACGATGTGAAGGTGGAACTCAACTTACCAACCAAAGCACAACAGGAGTCGGTTTTACAACACATATCGATTCCTGTGCCATCAGCGCACAAGTTGGATGTTTCCACTTTGCAACCGGCATGATGCAGCTTTTGCAGGCCACATCAAGATTGGGATGGAAAATTCCTTTGAAACCCTCAAGTTCTCCAGCGCTTAAAGTTGGGAAAGATTGGGAATGGCTAGCAGCAGAACGTTTGCTGCCGCTGACTTTGCAGCTTTGTAAAGGCTTTACACATGTTTTACACTTACACATTCTACGAATTTCTACGAAACATGAAGCCCTTAGGTGCAGCAAATCTGGCCGAGCAGAGTCAGATTGATAGTTGTGCCATTGCAGCGAGCTCAAGCTCAACAGTGTGGCGTTAGCGCCTGCCAGTTGTGCACCATTTGGCCCCATCAATCCACCGAAATTGTTTGTAATGGGCAATCATCAACTCTGCAAAAAAAGACAGCGTAGGAGTGTAGGAACTCCACAAATGGTAGAAACAGGAACTTAAAGTCATCTTGAAACCAAGCGATCTCTTGCTTCTCTAACCTGCACAAGAGTACCTGACACTCCCAGAAGCCCCTGAATTCACATCAAAAGTTGTGGCCGCCAGAAGCCTTTTTAAAGCAAATCTTGCCCATTAAAAACTTCAGAACCCCTCCGATTCCATGTGGTCGTCGGTAAAAGCTTCAGTGCAGTTGGTCCAACTCCCTGTCAATCGAGAAGCTCCATAAGTGCTATGGCTGCTATAAGTTTGCATGCGGAACAAGGTACCCTTAAGAGCTCTTGACATATGAAAGTCTTCAGCCCCCATCACTAGTTATACCTGGCTTGTTCACTCAAAAGCCACAGCTCTGTCAATTGTCGACGTTCTCATATGATAAGGATGTGGAAGTCGACTATTGACTTCTGTCAATTGTCACTACGAATCACTTTCCGCGGAAGTCATAGAAGTCATAGTTGACAGGATGCCCGGGATGGCCGGGATCGCCATCAGGATGCCCGGGATGGCTGGGATTCGCAATCTCAGTTTTCATCGGTCCATCTCGCATTCGAAACTTGGATGGTTCAGCGCACGCATTCAGCCAGGTGATCATATGGCGATGTCAAGGTTGGTAGGTTGACATCAAGTTGACATCCCATGTAATACATTGAGCTATGAGCTGGGTAGAAAGAGTCAAGAGATGAAATGGTGAAACATTTGAAGTTAGAGGTTCACACAGATCAGAGGAAGGCAAGGGGTTTGCCAACATATCCTGCCTTCTTGCCACCATCGGCCACGAACGTTCTTTGGTCAAGTTGGGCAGCAAAGTTAGATGTTTGAAGCGTCGGAAACAGAATTTAGAGTGAGTTTCATGAGTTTCGACATGATTCATATTTTTGACCTTACAGAGTTTGCTAGCCTCTATCAGAATTCCCTTCACCAACCGAGTGCATTTATTTGTAAACTGCTTTATTTTCAAACTGCCAGCAGGGCATCCACACTCAGATGTGTCACCATCCCTGGTTTGAGTGAATTCCGTTGACACCCAACTGACCCAACTGGTAAACGGTGTCGGTTGATGTCGTGCGGCTTCACCCTGGATCCTTCAGAATCACTTGTGGTGCCCAGGCATGAACCACAGAATCCAAATGTCGTGACTGTCGTGACGACTGTCAACCTGACCGTTGGAACCGTTGGAACCGTTGGAAAATGATGAGGAAAACGGGCTACCAGCCATGGCCATGGGGTCACATGGAAAACACATGTCTCCTGTTGCTTGGATGTTTGACAGTTCCTGAACCTGGCTGTGTTCGACACAGAAAATGATGGAGCCCAAAGTAAAGTGACTCACATTTGAATGCCCCTAAGTAAAGATAGTCAAGTAAAGAAACCTAGATTGGCGATGGCTCTGAAATTAGCTGTGGTGTCTAAGCACGAAACTGCTGCTGGAGTTTAAGTGAAACAACCTGGTGTAAGTGGACAGCCGACTCTTCATAATCATGCCAATTCATTGTCGAAAAGGCTATGACTGCTTTGACCTTCCATCTGTTCTCAGATCCAAAATTTCTCCCTGTAATTCAGTTCCCATCAGGCGGTTGCATGTGCGGTGTCGGGTTTTCCATGTTGGTCATAGATGACTTGAATCAACTGAATCAACTGAATCAACGATGGCGATGAGTTTGCCTTTGCTGCCTTTGCTGCCTTTGCTTCATCAAATTTACCATGCACTTCGGCAACACCTGGGTCACTTCTATGTTCCATATCTGCTGGCTGTAGCCTTGCGCCAACTCTTGTGAAAGCAGTCAGAGATTTCAGGGATCTCAGGGATCTCAGGGAGAGGTGCTCCGCGGCACATGAATCTCATGTGAAGCCAATGTGAACTGCACTGAGCCGAGAGGTCACATGAAGTTGATGAAGTCCAGTCCGGAAAGAGCTCGAGCACCGGTCAAAGATGGTCGAAGGATGGCTACAGCAGTGGCTACAGTTGTAGCTTCTGTTAGGGTCTCTTTGGCCGAAACTTTCGCCATTTTAGGAATTTCCTTTTTCAACCTTCATGACACTCTTGCGTCACCAAGCGCGTTCAGAACCGCAGCCAAAATTGCAGAGGCACTGGCGAAGCCTCAAACTGCCAGGAGAACTTGCAAAGATCTGAGCGAAAGCTGACGAGCTGACCAAAAAACACCTTGATTTTGCTGACCGAAAACACCTAAAGCATCTGAAGCCCTCACTTGAAAGTCACCAGGTCGAGCAGTGCCGAACTGCTATTAGACATCAAGATGCGTCAAGATGTGTGAGCAACAGAAGTAACGTATAAATTATATAAAGCCCATTCCTTTATGCGCTCTACCCCCTTTACCCCTAGTCCTGATTTCTTGACCTAGGACCTAAGTCAGTGAAATGACTGGGAAAGTGGATCTTTTCAAAAGCGTCCCTTAAATTCCTTCTCCTCCAAGAGACCAAGTTTAAAAGCTTGCAGGAAGTCCATTACTTAGTGCAAAAACTATCCTGCTTAAAAGATGCATTTGCAAAGTGCCAGATGCTTTCCAGTTGAAAACTGGACTTTGAACAATTGACGCAGCCAAATCTCGAGTTTTGAACTTGGAAAGCCTGTTGGGCTCCGCGAGATTTTGGCCTTCAGTTTTTCTGTTTCGACATCAGCTTCATCTGGTGCCAACAAGCTTCATCGCGTTCATCGCGTTCATCGCGTTCATCGCGTTCGGGTTCTCAAGTTCTGGTGCTCGGAGAGCGGCCGCGATCGCGTGGATCGCAGTGACCATCCGGCCATGACGCTGCGGCTGCGGAGAGGTCAGATTCTGGGAGCCGAAAGGGCCGAAAGGGTCGAAAGTCGTGAGAGTTCCAATGTCGAGTTCATCTTGGGACATCAAACATGACACAAACATGACACAAAGAGATGAATGCATCAACATGTGATGCCTGAATGCTAAATAATGATACATACATATACATACTATTGAACATTTGGTAGATGGATTGATACAATGATATTATGATGTGATGCCTGTGATGTCAGCATAGTTTGAAAGTGGCTATGGTAGTGACATGTAGTGACAATGTAGTGATTAAGGTGACCATTCCACTCAGTTGAGGGTCTACATCCTGATTGCATCGGTTTCTTCTGCAAGGTCATGCAATTTTGATGAAACCACGTGCGGCAAGCGTACCAGCACAGTCCCGGTCAAGCTCAAAGGCAGGTTGTTTTAGATAGTATGACAGAAGAAGAAGGAGGAGGAGGAGGAGGAGAAGATGATGATGTAAATGTAACCTTCTTGCTGGTTCTCAGAAGAAATGGTGAATGATGCTTTCAAACAGTCTCAAACATTTTCAAGCACTTCACATGTCACAGATGTCACAGGTGTTGCCATGTCCAGTTGAATGCATTCGAAGAGATTGCACCAGCGACCTGGCGGCATAGCATTTCAGTCGGCACGGTCAATTTCCACACTTTCTTGCGGCGATGGTCAGATTTTTCCGTTGGATACGGATTAATACGTATTAATACGGATTAACAGATTAACACGGATTCATTGATTAATCTCGTAAATACATTTCTACTAGTAGCTGTTGTTCTGCAGTTTGTTTTTATCTCATGTGTACTTGTGAACAGGTTGCGAATTGGGAACCCGCCCGGCAAGAGATGATCAATGCTGTGGATCTGTAGGCCGTCCGATGTGTTCGGCAAAGGTCCACCGATCTACGCCTTCAGTGGTGGTCTTCGCTTCGGCAGCACTTGGACGGTGGTTGTCCTCAGAGATCCAGATGTTTGTAGATACAGCACATATGTATTACATATGTCACATACCATTTGTGCTTGGTTCTACTGTGTTCTACTCTTGTGCTTATACCGGAATATCCCACTTGCTAGTCGGTGCTAGTCGGATCATATCTGTATTCTTGTTGGTTTGTACCCCTACGTGCATTCTGAACGTTGCAACATTTCCGTTTGTGAACCAGACGATGCACTGGCAGAGCTAGCGACCTATTTTGCTTCGGGTTTGGACGTTTGAAGACGCTTGAAGACGCTTGAAGACCGAAGACCCGTGTTCCCATCCCACTGTCTGAGCCGTCAAGACAGGTTCAGCATGGTTCAGCACCAATTTGTTTCATAATGTTTCGCTGTAGGCATTGTCCAGCGCGTATAACGGCGTGATCTACAGCATCAACTTGGTCGGCTTGGCACAGCAGTTCGGCTTCACATCCATGGAACAGATGTCGTGATCCTCTCGACACCACAGGTGCCACGGAGGGCATCCTGGAAAGCACTTGGAAAATTTCACCTCCTGAACCGGCTTTGAAAGATCATCTTGAATCATTTTCCTATTGGGACATGATACTTTTCCAATTTTTTCCTCTACCTTGACTTTTCAGGTGCGCTGGAAATTCTTCGAGGGGTTTCTTTGTCAAACTTTCCGTATCTTTCCGCTTTCTGTGCCAGGAGCTATCCTTGGCAGGTTGGAGCCTAGGTGCCCGAGCTGCCAGAAGCTCAGTTAGTCAAATCTGGAGGTACTTCAGCAAGGTGAGGAAAGGTGGAGATATGATTATAATTCATAATCAATTAATCAGTAATCAATTAATCAATTAATCAATTAATCAATTAATCAATTATAGTCAATTAATCAAATAATCACTGTTTAATGCAGCGAGATTGAGACATGACTTGAACCTTCAGTCAGAAGTTGTTGGGGAAGGGCTTATGACATTTTATGACTGTCTTGTCATGTTTAGCAAAAAGAGACCTGCTGGAGGCCACCTGCTTTGCAAGCCAGCTGGAGCGTACTGGGAAAGCCTCTGTAGAGTGCATTTTCGCCTTAGATGTTCGCGACTCAAAATCAAATCCTGTGGGCTAATCGGGCCTGAAAGAACTATAATATAATATAAGACTTTATAAAACTTTATATACCCCTTTTTTGTAGAAAGGTTTATGAGACCCACATTCTTCATAGCAGGCCCAGGTCATATTCAGCATTGCTCCAAAAATGCAAATTGCTCGTAGCCTGGCTAAGGACCGGCGAAAGTTTCCTTTCTCAGAGGCCTCCTGTCGATTGAAGTTTCGACCAAAAATGCAGAGTATGAAGTCCTCGGCTGCACTGCACCCGGTTGCGGCTGGAGGTGAGCCTGAGATCACTTGTCAGCGTCCTTTGCGCTGCTGAGAGTGCCTGGTGCCCTGGTGCCCTGGTGCCCTGGTGCCCTGGTGCCCTGGTGCCCTGGTGCCCGAGCTTTGCCCCAGCTGTGCCATGCTGTGCAAAACTGATCCTTTCGGCACACTGCGCTGTGCCAAGGTCCCCGCCTTCCGCACATCTGCCCTTTGTGTGGATCTCAGTCAGAAAACGTACCAACTTCTTGAGCTTTTGCGAGATGAAATATGAAATATCATGAAATATCATGAAATATCTGCATTCCTTCCATTGTATTGCATGATTATTGCATGATTATTGCTGGTACTGCTTGTATTGCAAGTAGAACACCTGGTGACGTGTGATGCGCTTGCGGGTCATGTCACCATGAACCGACCTAAGGTTAGACTTCACGTGTGCTCTGCCTGCTGCTCAGACAGTCCAAAAACAGGGAAAAGTATTAGATTTTTTAGAATCATTAGAATCGTTAGAATCATTATAGAATCATTAGAATAATACTAGAATATCCTATTCATTGGTTTTCCGGCACGAAAAATAGGTGTTCCAGTTCCCAATTTTTGGACATCCAATTCCATCAGTGTCACGTAGCTGGTGCTATCCTGTACCAGGTTGCCAGTCAGGCTTGGCGGAATCGATTGGACTTGCACTTTTCAGGCGAATGTGGCCTGCTTGGGGGCTTTAGCGAAATTCAGCAGACTTGGATGCTGATTTCATGTCATATGATTTTATATGATTTCATATGATTTCATGATATATGATGATATAATCACCATGATAAACCAAAATCGTGGGCTGAAATTTGAGCCATACCCCGATGGTTGATACTGTTGACACTCAAGAATACTTTGCACTTGAGTCACGAATACTTTGTATCACCTGAATCAATGGTTCTTGAGGATATAGTCATATCATGTCATATCATGTCATATCAGTCAATATTTGTATTTCTGATACGTGCATCCCCATAATTTGTTGTAGATGTTGAGAGACTAGCAATGTTTTGCTCCGTATCAAGCTGCATATCAAGGAGGACCAAGAGCTTGAACGCCGGCGGGCACTGTACTGCTCCCGAGTTCGACAGTCGCCGTTGGATGCTGCCGGACATTTTGATGTAGGCGGGTCAGAAGTCGGGTGTATACTTGAGTGAAAATTCAGCAGTTGTGAGTTATCAACATTTTACAAAGAGGGATATGACCAACAATATGTTATTACATGTATGTAATGTGGGATTATTCTGACAAGACATGAACAAACACTACAGCTCGCTGAAATGGGGTAAAGAAATATGTGAAGTTGACATGACTGAAGGTTTTCCATGAAACGTCAGATCCCACTTTGAACAGGAGTTGTTGGCCAAATCTTGCCATGCCAGGCATCATTTGTGCTTGGGATTTGACCCAGCAGATTCAGACTTCGAGACGTCCCCAACGTGGCCAATGCGGCCAAAGCACTTGCGTTCCGAGTTGGGGAAAAAATGCATCCTTGCGGCAAGGGCGGTAGAGACGTTCATGAGACTGCAGACAGATCGCATGATGATCCATAAACTGCACAACTGCACAAAAATATGTTCTAGGTCACAGGATGTCAAAGGGGGTGAACGGATTGAATGCGAATCGCTTTCCATTCAACTTCCAATGGAAGTGCCACTTGGACATCACTTGGACATCACTTGGACATCACTTGGACATCACTTGGACATCACTTGGACATCACATGGACATCACTTGGACATCACTTGGACATCACTTGGACATCACTTGGACATCACTTGGACATCACTTGGACATCACTTGGACATCACTTGGACATCACTTGGACATCACTTGGACATCACTTGGACATCACTTGGACATCACTTGGACATCACTTGGACATCACTTGGACATCACTTGGACATCACTTGGACATCACTTGGACATCACTTGGACATCACTTGGACATCACTTGGACATCACTTGGACATCACTTGGACATCACTTGGACATCACTTGGACATCACTTGGACATCACTTGGACATCACTTGGACATCACATGGACATCACTTGGACATCACTTGGACATCACTTGGACATCACTTGGACATCACTTGGACATCACATGGACATCACATGGACATCACTTGGACATCACTTGGACATCACTTGGACATCACTTGGACATCACTTGGACATCACTTGGACATCACTTGGACATCACTTGGACATCACTTTGACATCACTTGGACATCACTTGGACATCACTTGGACATCACTTGGACATCACTTGGACATCACTTGGACATCACTTGGACATCACTTGGACATCACTTGGACATCACTTGGACATCACTTGGACATCACTTGGACATCACTTGGACATCACTTGGACATCACTTGGACATCACTTGGACATCACTTGGACATCACTTGGACATCACTTGGACATCACTTGGACATCACTTGGACATCACTTGGACATCACTTGGACATCACTTGGACATCACTTGGACATCACATGGACATCACTTGGACATCACTTGGACATCACTTGGACATCACTTGGACATCACTTGGACATCACTTGGACATCACTTGGACATCACTTGGACATCACTTGGACATCACTTGGACATCACTTGGACATCACTTGGACATCACTTGGACATCACTTGGACATCACTTGGACATCACTTGGACATCACATGGACATCACTTGGACATCACTTGGACATCACTTGGACATCACTTGGACATCACTTGGACATCACTTGGACATCACTTGGACATCACTTGGACATCACTTGGACATCACTTGGACATCACTTGGACATCACTTGGACATCACATGGACATCACTTGGACATCACTTGGACATCACTTGGACATCACTTGGACATCACTTGGACATCACTTGGACATCACTTGGACATCACTTGGACATCACTAGGTTATCACATGTTGAAACGTTGCCACGTCTTGCCACGTGTTACCACCGAGAAGCTTGTGCCAGTCTTTTGGCTCGGTCTTCCCGAGAGGGCATCGGGACCGTCTGAGCAGAACCAAAGAGAACTGAACTCAGAACATCTCCGACCTGTGATCCGATGATTTCTCATATATATGATATATATAAGATTATATAAGCATGATATTGCATGATATATTATATAATTGATTATAATTAATTATTACATTATATTATATATCATATATTTCTCATACATGTTCGAGTTGAAGTATGTTCACATTTCAAAACGTCTTTTGCTCTCCGCTTTTCGTATTTATCTTCCTATTTTCAGCAATCTAAGGTTTACACCAAGCTGCTTTTTTCCTCTTAGACTACCTGGATCCATGAAACTAATCCACGAAATGTGTAACGTTTCCCCCTTTTGGATTTTCGAGGTGTGGTCAAGGTATGCTCCTAGAGCCGTGTGGAAGGACGAAACACAAAAAAGAACCCGTGGACCTGCAAAATCCTGCAAACTTCATCAGGACGACAACACATCTAACCAAATGATCCAAGAAGACCCCTTAGAAGACACTAAGAAAAGATAAGAACAGCACAACAATCAGTTTAAGTCCTTGGGTTTTGCAGCGCTGTCCGCCCAGGTGTTCTGTTGTTTTGCTGTGCCGCGTGTATTTTGAAGAAGCTTCATGACAGGCCTGGTTTTTGTGACATCCCAGTGTCAGCCGCATCATCAAACTTCCCTTTGTGCTAGAACTGCTAGAAGAGACTGCAGCAGCAACCCTTTGGGGGATTCTACAAGCAGGCCCTTGAGTATCATTAAGTATCCTTATCCTTGTGATATAACATGATATAACTTACGTAAATATTACGTAAATTACAGTCCTCATTTTTGGGAAATTGGTCCCTGTGTCGTCAGGCCTGATGGAAAAGTGCAGATGGCATGATCCCTTAGGCTGATGAGGTGCTGTTGGGTACTGTTCGGTGTGGAGCCAGAACATGCCATCATACGGACCTGCGAACCATTAGCTCCATGTTTTTTCAACACTGGGCAAAACGGGGGTTCTATCCCATTCTCTACCTGTTTTAATTTGTTTTCATGGCAACAATTTGCATTTGGCGATATCCGGAGGCGACCACGCTCCCGAGCTTCCGTCCGGGGCCGCATCCCAAGGCGCGAGGATTCGTGAGATCGGCCTTTTTTTTTTTCCCTTTTTTGGAAACGCGGCGTTTTGCACGTTTCTTCGCTTTGATGTTTTCTGGAGATCCCACAGGCAAGGCAAAAAGCTCACGTGTGAACATATGTGAATATCATTGAATATCCTTTTCTGAAGCTTTCGACGGAGTTGTATCTGATTGTATCCGTTTTTGAATTTGCGACAGGTGTGTTGAGGGCAGCTGCGTAAACTTACAATCTACTGACCTATGCCTTCTGCAGCAAGCCATTGAGAGGAAAGTGGGATGTCGTTGCCCAATCGTTGTGGAACAAGAAAGCGACAGGTAGCGATCGATATGTTCCCCACCTTTCACCTAGATGGCGAAAGTCATGTTAGTTTGCCGAATATTGAACACTGGACGCTGGCATCGCCATGTTCTGTTCAACTGGTCTATGAGCTTAAGCGGCTGGCGCTGTTGCGCGATGTACAATTTATTCCTTTCAAATCAGTTGGCTGAACAAATTGAGTGCAGCTGCTAGGCAGACTATGCCTGAAGCGTTCATGCCTGAAGCATTCTAAGTGTTTTGCCTATTTCAGAGTTTTCGGAGTTCAACCATGACCTTTTCTCTGCCATTCAGTCTGCGAAACGTAAGATGGGTTAGCTCCAGAACAGAATATTTCAAGATAGCGAAAGCAATTGACACAGCCCTTTTGCAGGATCCTTGCAGGGCTTAAGTCAGGATGAAAAGTATCAAATCACTCGTGGGCGATTTCCACTTCGGAGACCAACAGTGGGCTCTTTCGACTGGATGGTCACAGTTTATTCACACTGTGCGCGTGACTTGGCAGCCTCACCGATGTCCCTGTCCTCCAATGTGTGTCAAAAGACGTATTCCATGCAAATGAAGGACTGCACAGACTTTATCGGAAGAATAACTTCAGGAGGCTCTTACTTGAAGAAATCATGTCGATTCCCAGAAAGCCTGCTGCCTGCGTCACAATCATGCGTGGCAGACACAGATTGGGACTTTTTTGGTTCGTTGCAGAAGATAGTCGGCGTTCCTTTACCTTATTTTCGGAAGTGAAGCCAAGTGTGGCAACATGGCCACAGAAGCATGTTCAGTAAGGTGAAAGCAGACTCAATGAGATGATGGATACAGCTTCCAAATATTGACCTCGATACATGCTGGGTTTCCTCCTGCTGCACGCACCAAACATTCAGATTGTTAGTTTTTGGTGCATTGACTCCTTCTCAACAAGTGAACTCCACTTGGTGCAAGTTGTAATCAAGCCACACTGGCAGTCAGCATAGCATCTCAGTCTCGCGGAAGCTGGGCAGTTGCTGACATGCTATTCCTAGAGCAAAGCCCGGACGAGCAAAGTGCAAGTTGGTCTTGTGACCAGGGGCTAACAGAGCACAAGTTGGACTGTGCATTGCAGTGTCCGATATTGAGAGAGCTTGGGGGCCTTTTCAGTCGAAAGCTTTGCTCAGATATCAAGGGATACTGCAAGTGACATTGGAAAAGAGGATGCGCTCAAGATCCCAGCTGCACAGCTCTCGCAAAGTTTTTTGTGGGAAGCCAGCATCAACATGGAGACAGGATTTAGAGACTTCCACAGCTCCTGATTGCTGACGTTAAAGGCCACGATGTGAAAGACAGAGAAGCTTCTGCCCTTCAAAGATCACGTCGATTCGCAGAAAGCCTGCTGCCTGCGTCACAATCATGCGTGGCAGACACAGATTGGGACTTTTTTGGTTCGTTGCAGAAGATAGTCGGCGTTCCTTTACCTTATTTTCGGAAGTGAAGCCAAGTGTGGCAACATGGCCACAGAAGCATGTTCAGTAAGGTGAAAGCAGACTCAATGAGATGATGGATACAGCTGCCAAATATTGACCTCGATACATGCTGGGTTTCCTCCTGCTGCACGCACCAAACATTCAGATTGTTAGTTTTTGGTGCATTGACTCCTTCTCAACAAGTGAACTCCACTTGGTGCAAGTTGTAATCAAGCCACACTGGCAGTCAGCATAGCATCTCAGTCTCGCGGAAGCTGGGCAGTTGCTGACATGCTATTCCTAGAGCAAAGCCCGGACGAGCAAAGTGCAAGTTGGTCTTGTGACCAGTGGCTGACAGAGCACAAGTTGGACTGTGCATTGCAGTGTCCGATATTGAGAGAGCTTGGGGGCCTTTTCAGTCGAAAGCTTTGCTCAGATATCAAGGGATACTGCAAGTGACATTGGAAAAGAGGATGCGCTCAAGATCCCAGCTGCACAGCTCTCGCAAAGTTTATTGTTCCATGCACATGTTGGATGTGCCCAAGTCATTGTCTGCCCTCGAAGTGCCTCTGACTGCTACATGGACTTTTCAGATGTCCATGTCAGATGTAACGCTTTTCGATCAACTAATTTCAGCTTCGAAAGCTGTGCTTCTGAAATCCTGTGAACAATCCTGTGAACGAAAGCTGCAGCCACAGAGGCTTATTTGCTGATCACGTCTCATCGAAACATCAGTTTTGTCTCAAGTGTGAGGGCACCTATTGATGGTTGAGAATGTTGAGAATGTTGAGAATGTTGAGAATGTCCGGGCAAAAGGCTGCACAGAACATTGGGAACATTGGGCGACGCATTCCACTGATGTTTATCCTCGAAGCAACTGAATCAGATTTTGTTCCACCTGTGGCAATGACTTCCGCAGATTTGTTGTGGATGATGATTTTGCTCTCGACCATAGTTCGACGATTTCAAAAACCAAGGAGAGCGCATCAAGTTTGCAGTTGATTGGGACCGTGCATTGTAAGCTCTATGTGACAATTAAAACAGCAAAAAAAGAAAACAAAAGTCACAAGTCACAAGTGATTTCTCTTAGATTTGCATCGATCCCAGGCGATTTGGATCGATTCCAGGCTTTAAGCTTTGAGTCTTGCACCAGCGACACGCAGCTGCTGAGCCAAATGCTGAGCCAAAGAAAGTGGTGCAGGGAAATTGCTCGACGAAGCACGTTGGGACTCACTTCGTTCAAATCTCTGGATTTTTCAAAGTTTGATCCTGAGACAATTCAACTTGTTGTAGTCGAGAGTCGGAGAATGCAGAGAAGCCTTTTTCAAACTCACGAACAGATAGTTTTCCCTCTTTTACCGCCATCAATGTGCCAGATTTTGCAACTTCGGTCACATGCACAGCAATAATTTCTGGGTGCCACGGATGCGAAGCCAGAGCAGATGCCGGGTGTTGGAAAGTTACAAGTCCGTCGGAAACTTTGGACAGTTTGGTGATCGACAAAGGACACTGACACGAGTGACACGAGTGACACGAGTGACGGGTGGTGGCATCACTGATATGGCGCTTATGGGCTGTGGCCAATGTGGCCAATGTGGCATCGCTGGGATCCATGATCCGATCTTAGAGGATCGCAAGGCCTTTTATGGCTTGGATCATTTGGATCATGTGGACTGTAAATCTTGTGGACGTCGACTTTTCAAAATTGGCTCACGTTTTCAAGACCGAATGCTTCAGCGGCTGGAAATTTGGTAACGAAGTGAAAATAAAATGCGACATTGCTGCAAATGTCACTCGATTGGCGAGTTCAGCTGGATTTCGATCGTGTCATGGACGGGAATGATGCGCATTGGCATAGCTGTGAAGCTGCAAACATGTGAAAACAGGATAGCTGTGAATCTTTTGAGGTTTGGAACGATTCATATCCTTCCATTGTTGGTGGTATCAACTCATCCTGGTCGACGCGCGACGGGTCAAATGGGTGAAGTTAAAGTGCCTCCAGCTCGAAATGTTTGACAATCAGCTAAGTCCATAGCTGCGTTGACTCCCTGAATCTGAATCATCCTGAATCACGGAAGCTTCAAAACTTCGAGAAGTTGAAACTGCCAAGAAGTTTCTGAGCAAGGCATCACTGGCCGTCGGCAGAAAGTGTTTCAGTAGTTTCAGTACAAAGCGAAACTTTTTGCTCCAGGCAGTTCCAAGCTTCAATGCCGAGCTTTGTGATTTTGCATTGATGGAGCCAAGGATAGTGAGATGTCACCTGCCTGTGTAGCCTGTGTACGTACAAATGTTACAAAGGTCTCTCCGGATTTTGGATGTTTAAGCCTAAGCCATCGAAATGATTGCCGCCATGCAGATGTGCGCAACTTTGCGACTTCGTTGATCGCTGTGGTGCATTTTCAAGCCACCAAGAGGAAGAGGCTGACAGGCTGACAGGCTGACAGGCTGACAGGCTGAAACTCCAACAGGTGGCGACCACTCAGTGACGGTGCGGATCCATCTGGATGCCAGGTGCGCCTTGAGCACTCCAAAGGTGAGAGAGGTGTCCACGATGCCAGATTAACTGATTAAGCATACTTAGCTTAGCTGGCTTAGCTTCAATGTATTGGGCACCGCACGTATTTTCACCTAGCAAAATCACAGACCTGTGTGGAATACGAAAGCCACACTTCCAGTCACACTGTGTCAAGCGAAGTAGGTGCGGCCGCAGCGTTTTTTCCAGCTCTTAACGTTAAAGCTGCTTGACGCAACAAAGAGCGTTGCCAATTTTACCTTAGGTGTCACCGTGTCACCTTTGATGTTTTGAATGCGGCTCGAGTGGTCACCTGCGCATGTCGATGCGCTTCTCCCCAGAAGCGCAAAGCAATGGTAACCGCTCTGTCAGTAAAGGTGCACTGTACACAGCACCGGCAACACCTTTTCGGTGTCGGCAGCCAGCGCAGCAAGCGCAGCCGGTTCCCGTCAAAACCTTTGCTGCCCGCACTGCCCACAGTCAGACTGTCAAAACCTATGGTGCACACCATCTTGGAGATAGGTGCAGACGGTGCAGACATCTCCCGAAAGTCTCCAAGTTGTTTGCCAAACATCACATTGATGTCATCTGTTCACTCAAAACCAGGAGCTTTTTCTGCGTAGCCAAGCCATGATCCCAACAGATGCAGTTCTCCTTTCTCCATGTTTGATTCCAGAACATTGGAAGCATTTTGGCACAGTACCATTTGGCACATTCCATTGCTTCACAAATGTTTTCCTGATGTGTACCAAGTGTTTTCAGAGTGTTTTCCGTTTAGTCTGTAAAATGATGGCGCGCCAATCCATTGATGTCAGGCCCAAGAGTGACGTGCTAAAGCTGAAGTTGCTCCAGTGGAAGTTGATTGGAAGCTGATTCCATGAGGATCCAGACATTTTATTTCCATAAATAGAGCTTCCAAAGCTTCCAGAGCTTTTCATTTCCTTCCAAGGACTCCAATGAGTCCATCAGCAAACTGCCCGAATTTCGATGTCAGCAATTTCCTTCGATTTTGGAGCACCGTCAGAGCACAGAACAGGTGAAAACAGAGCTCCTCGTGACAACGTCGGTGTGACGATGTCAAAATCGAATGCCAAACATGCGAAGTATACACAGTTTCCCAATTATTTGTCGCAGTTGCCTTTACAGATCAGCGTTTCCATTTTAGATATCGCTGCGCCAAGAGAGGTTTGTCCAGTTTTTGCACGTTCTGAAATTGCTTTGTCTCCGCATTTGTCAGAGCAAGATGTGGCAAGCCTTCAAAAACTTCGATGGGATCACTTTCGACCGAAGGCTACGGCAAGTTCGCAGTCCAGGATTTTCCAATCCTTACAAGTGACATCAGTGACATCAGTGACATCCGATTTCCTCGTAGATGTTTCAGTGCTGGGCTTCAGACGGAACGCTTTCAGAAACACTATGATTTTCTTGCCAGAGATCTCTCCTGCCAAGATGAGCCAAGTTGTTTCAGTTCTTTCATTTAAGTTTCGTCCATGACTTTCCCGTCTGCTTTGAGCATGGTTTGAGAAGTCCATGTTCGCCATGTTCGCTGCGTCTATTGCGTTCCCCTCCAAGTGCCAGGTCACCGTCTCGACCTTCCGAGACTCCCGGAGCTGCCGAAGCGGAAATTCCTTCAGACGTTGGCGTTGCCGTCCGTGCCACGTGCCGAACGTGCAAGCAGACAGCACTCCGCAAAGCAGAGAAACGAGAGAAACGTTGATGGCAATTTCACTCCGAAAATGGACCAAAGCATCCAAAGCTGCCGAAAATCATCTCCTCAGATCCAGAGAATCACAGTTCCGCTGAAATTTCGACCCTAACGTGAGCGGCTTCGCGAATCCCAAGCCCATCAGCAGCAATGTGAGCTAACTCAAACAACTGCAGTTTCCCAGTTGCCAAATATCACAAATCACATGGCTGACATGATTGTTTTGCGGCAGACTTTCGCCAGACTTTCGCCCAAAAGTGTCATGTTTTCAATGTTTCCTTCCAGATGTGGGGATGAATCCAGCTCAAGCTGCACACGAAGCCCAGTCACAGAAACAGATAAAGGATGAAAAGATATGAAAAGATGAACATCAGCAGCGGATGAACTGCTCACCAAGTTGTGCCCACAAGAGGGGCAAGATCCTGGAGCCAAGCGACGTTCTGCAACTCTTTAATAGATCATTTGGCCATGTCAAGGATGTCAAGGATGTCACCGATTCAGATTCTTTTCAGACTTTAAATAAGATTTTGGTGAAGGCCGTGAAGGCCCCAAGTTCTTTCAGCGGTTTGAGATGTCAAGAATGGCCAGACCGAGAGAATCTCAAGTTCATCTCAACTACAAGTTGGTCATTAGAATTAAATCTCAGGGCGCAATTTTCAGCCTCAAACATTTGAACCTGAAAGCTCTTCCAACTTGTGAGCGGCCACGAAGAATGCCACGACTTGAAGCTTGCCGAGCTGCCATATGTTTCTCTGCAGTTTGTGACGGTTGTGCCCTTCAACATCTTTCAACCGCTTCAACCCTTCCAACCCTTCGCCGTTTCAATCCTTCAGGTTTTCCTCGCTGTGAGTTGTCTAGAGTCAAAGATTTCAGGCCGCAGCTGTTCAGCACACTGAAAGTGTCATTGAAAGACTCATGCCTTACCGGCCGCTTTAAGTATCTTTCAGTGTCACTCTTCAGTTCACTCAGTTGAGCAATTTACTGAGCTTTCATCGCCGTGCTCGTGGTGCTCCAGGTTGGGTCCTCGCAGGAGCAGCCGGTCAAAGATTTTGTGCAGAGTGGCTTCAGAGTAACGGTGCCCAAGACATGAGAGCCTGCATTGCTTCAGAGGCAGCGATAGCTTCCGATAGCTTAGTAACATCCAAATGCCAAGCCTGCCAAGAATGAGAAGCTTGAGCCCAGCCTCGTTGAAGTCACCCCCCTGGTGAGAGCATCCACTTCACTGATAGTTGTTTGTTAAGCGACCTGGCTCTTTGTGACACACGAATTCAAATGCAACCAGGATTGCCTCGAAACGCGGAGAACCCGACATGGGTCTCACTTCATGTGAAGCGAAAGAATGCCGTTTGCTCTTGACCGGGACTAGAGTAGGACCGCAGCAGACTAAGAGCCTGAATCGCTTGATGCATGGTTGTAAAGCTCTTCGTGTTGCAGTCCTTCGAAAGCACCAAGAACTTGAAAAAGTGTGGCCCCTGGCATTGGAATGTTTATGTTCACTAAGCACCCGACTGCAAGTTAAACCTTCGAGGAGACAACGTTTTAGCTACAGCAGCCACAGTGTAGATGGTATTTTTCCTGGGATTTGCCCGAAATTGTTGTTGAAAATGTCTGACAAAACATCTAAAACATTGCAGCGGATGCTTTGTAGGGCTCCGGGTCCAAAAGTGCCTTAAAACCCCGCACTGTGCGCTGTCGAGCACTGTGCAACCCTCGGTACCTGAAGGTCCTGGCAGTGGTGGTGCCAGCCATGCACCGTGCGATTGTTTGAGTGAGAATCAATGACTCCAATGACTCCAATGACTCCAAGGATGCATGATGTGACACATGTGACACATGTGTCAAGCATTCCTCGCAGAGCTGTTTACCATAACGACGCCTGACACATCATGCCGTCACAGTTGATTGAATGATTCAGGTGTGTTAGAAAGCAGATGTTCTGAACTCCAGAAATGTGTTGCTCTTGGGCCGTGCAGGGAACCAATTTTGAAAGTTACGAAGTTTGACGAGCTTTTGAAATGCCTCAAATGTTGCAGGTCCAAATTCCCCACAAAGCATTTCGCAGACAGTCAAGTGTTGTCCTTTTTTGCCGCGCATTTCAGGATGGCACCGACCAGGGACAACTTGCCAAAGATGGAGGAACAAAGAACTGCATCCAGTGTGTGGATGCAAGACGCATAACCGAAGACATGGAGAGAGAAGACGAGAGAAAAAGTGAAGTTCTTGAAGGTCGCGGGTGTCATAGCGGGTGCCATTGGTGTCGGTGTCGGTGTCATAGGTGTCAGAGCAGGTCCCGAGACTCACCAAGATCACTGAGAAAGTTGAAAATGCGGAGCTAAAAGTTGGTGGAAAAAGCGGTAGTCGGTCAAATGTTGAGAAAAGACGCCGTTGGCCACTCTTTCAAAAGCTCTTCCAAGCTCTTCGCAGTGGGATTGTCTTCCAGGTGCTGATTGCTCATGATGCTCATGCTCATGCTCATGTTGCTCACGCCAGCAGCTGTAGCACCCTATGCAGCCAGTGTAGCACAGGCACATCATGCAGTCATCTAAAGCCTAGGAGTTGCACCAGAAGTTGCCGACGTCTCCAATGAAGGAGCGGAAGAACGTGCCAAAAGTGCCGAACGTTCGCCCCAGCCGTGGAGTTTTGGCGTTGTCGACTGGAGCTGCCAGATGATCCAAAGAACTCTGTGGTTTTTCAGTGCCGCCACGACTCCCACGACTCCCAGGGTTTGTCCCTCACAGCTTGGTCCATGGTCCATCTTGGTCCCTGGGAAATTGCCATCAATGGGCCAAAAAGTAAGCCGAGGTGATCAAGGGTCAGAAATCAGAGAGCCAAGTGAAAGATGTGAAAGATACCCCATGATGTGAAACACATTCAATTCTTATCTTCGAATTTATCGCCAAATTCCTGCCAATGTCTGAGTAGCAATCCCTGCAATCTGAGGCAGTAGGATTTTTATCTCAATGACGGAAGAACATGGAAGAGATCGATTCGCACTGAAACTCCCAAAAGGCCCTGAAGGCCCCGGAGGCCCAAAAGGCCTCGAAGGCCCAGAAGGCCTGGCGCCAAGTGCAGCCGCCTCGTCCATCGATGCCATCGACCTCGATGACCTGGCAGATGTCCAGCTGTGGGATTCCAATTCCATGTGCCAAGCTGTGCCAAGTCTCCAACAGCTAAGCAACAGCTTCAACAGCTAAGCAACAGCTAAGCAACCGCTATGTCAACACTCATTCAGATTCGTGTCATGTGAACCCGAGCCAGACCGCGCCACCCCGCCAGATTCCATTACAGCGCTTGCCACTTTCCTTAAGATTCGCTGGGACTGCGAGCATTACTTGCCACCTCTGCCTGTGCGAGGTGCAGACACCAAAGTATCCAAAGTGCTAGACCCTGTCCTAGGTGAAAATTGCAGCTGTAGCAATTGTCAGGTCAGTGTCAGGTAGATGAAGTAGATGAAGTAGATCAAGTAGATCAAGGTGTCAACGTCAGAGAGAGCCGAGCAAATCAGGACAGAAATCTGGACGGTGGGAGAAGTGCTCTGCGAAGTGCCCTACAAAGTGCTTGCGTGAGAAGCTTAGCATCGCCATTCCATAGCAATCACCGCATTCCTGGCATTCCTGGCATTCCTGGCATTCCTGGCATTCCTGGCATTCCTGGCCCCGAGCTCGGCACAGACATGTGGCTCTTGCAGAGCCGACCCTCAATCCCTCCAGTTGCACTAGCTGTATCTAGCTGTACCAGTAGCTGTACCAGTAGCTGTACCAGCTATATGATTTTGACCAAGTACCAAGGAAAATGTGCGAAATGTGTTTTGACCTTCCCATGCTCGATTCCAATGAGTTTTCAAGGCAGACGAGTTTGCCACGATGGAATGTTCAATGTTTGTCGATCAATTTCTCGAGTGAGGCAGGTATGTGTATCCAATGCCGTCAAAGATGTACACGTTCAAAGCTTCACGTTTTGCTGCCTCAAACTACTGAATTTCTCGAAAGATGCGAAAGGTTTCGATGTGCGAAAAGGGAGACGAGACACCTCGGGCCTCACAAGCGTCATGAGCACGAGCCTCACAGCTAGTGCTAGTCAAGCTAGTCCAGCTAGTCAGTGGGACTCCAAAATGTCGTGAGGTTTCGGATGGTGTAGGTCGATTGCAGATTCGAGCGACATATCTCTCTGTGACACATTCGCTCCAAAGACTGACCTGTAACATAGTCGATCCGATGGACATGGACAAACGACACCAGAAAAAAAGAGCTGGTCTGCACAGCCGAGACAGAAGCAGAAGAGTGTCAGACCATGTCAGACCTGCACTGAATTTGAACTTGTCATAACTCTTCATTCTTCATAACTCTTCATGAATTCCGTAGACCCACGGCAGACACTCTGATGAATTCCGCTGTTGTTTTCATTCCTGACAATTGATGTGTGTAGATTTTGTTTGATCTTAATTTGCACATTTTGACATATTTTGACAATTGGCAAAGCAGCCATTTTGCTCTCAACCCTCCTTTCAGCTTCACAGCAGTCCTTACAGTGCCTTACAGGACAAATGAATCAGCTCAGTACCAGCCAACAAAGCTCAGCATTGGTCTACTACATGTAGTCGTTAATGGTGGTTAAGAAAAATAATGTATGACTTAAACGCAGAAAACTCCACACATTTCAACATTTGCATTTAGCATTCCATAGTATTCCATAGTATTCCGCATCGCCAGGGATTTGCTGCAGGAATTTTGAGGCGCTGAGCCACCTGAAGTGAAGGTGACGGAAGGTTCAGATGACAGAAGCAGATGTTTTTCGTAAAAGCGCACTATAGCGCACTAGACGTTCCAAAGACTTAGTCGCCGCATTGCATTAAATCCCTGATAGTATGAGATAGTCAGAGTACTGTCAAACAGCAGACCAATATCAGACCAATAAAGGAAGATAAATCACATCATTTGGGGCCTCGTTGGACCTGCTTTTGGGCGACGCTTTCGCACCATTTTTTATCGAAGGTTTGCGGTCAGGTCACGTCACATGTCACCGGTTTTGCTTTGCCTCGGTCAGGCCAGGTTCAATGATTGATGCTGGCAACTCTGCAACCTATGGCGCCATCTCGGCTGCTCCTACCGTCTCAACTTTGACACTGCTTTCTGGTCGACACCCGAGTCTAAGCGGCAAACTGATGCAAAGAGAATAAAGAGACTATTCAGAGTGGAATCCAATTAGAGACATTTCGAGACATTTCGAGACTATTCGTCCAAATAATTTCAGAGTGACCAGGTCATGTCAGGTGCCAGGCAGTGCCACGGTCGACTTGTTCAGAAATGAATGTGGGCTGGTAGGAGTTGACATCCTAATTATGTATTCCTATGTTGGCAAGATGGTAGCAAGATGTTGGTACTGTAGCTGCTTGAATTGATTCAATTGATTCAATATGATTCAATTGATTCAATTGATTCAAGCGTCCTAGAAGCTTCATCTCAACAAGTTCACGCACGCCAGGATGCTTGCGAAGGAGTTGAAGACGGCTGTGGACAAAGTGGTGGAAGCGAATCCATGCTTGTCCGCCCGTGTGGTGAATAAAGACAACCGGATGTTGCTTGAACCTGGAGTTCACAAAGATATCTTCTTTCGAGTGGTTGATCCACCCAAGGAATGCCCATTGATTGGCAGCTTGGATTTGAAAGGCAAACTTCAATTTCTCCAGAACCTGGAGCAGAATTTTACAAATCCGGGAACAGCAATGAACACCATCAAAAGTGGATGTCAAGTTTTCTTGGTGGAGTTGATGACCTTTCCGGAGCCTTATGTTTGCTTCGTGATCCACTTGTCGCACTTGGTGGGTGATGCGAAGACGTTGTATGACATCGTGAGTCAGTTGAATGCCATCTTAGCTGGGCGACAAATTGAAGCTCTTGACTGGGAATGTCCAGCTCGAAACAATTTTGAGTTGCTTCCGTTGTCTTTAAAGGATCGACAAAAAGTGATCAATTGGGGCTGCTTTGGCTGGCTCGGACAGCTACTGTTTGGTCCTAAGCGTCAGAATCACGTGTCCTTGCTGTCTAAGAGCCAAATTGAACAAGAGAAGGAACGACAGAAGACCTCCAAGAGTAAGTTCCTGTCATCCAACGATATCATCACTGCTGCCCTGAGCCGATCCATCAAGAATTCCTACGTCATGAACGTTGCAGTGAACATGCGAAACAAGGCTGGTGTGCCTGGAAATGTGGCTGGAAATTATTGGCATTCGGTTCCCATGGATCACCAAGCCGCCGCAGATCCCAATACAATCAGAGAATTTCTGCCGAAATTGGAGTATTACAAGGATGGTGAAGTTCCCTGTTGGCCGAAGCCTTAGTTATCACTTAGTTATCTTGGTTGATTCTTTTTTTTGCTTTACTTCTGCATTTTTCCTATCATTTTCTTGGCTTTGAGGCTTTCAGTGTCACACTTGCAACGGCTTTCATGCATGCAGTCCCTATTTTCCAGGCTTGCATCAAATGAATCCTTGTCTCCAAACCCTGGTGATTCTAGTATATTCTAGTCATCACGTTATTTGTTTCAACCTCCTTGATATGTGGTCCAAATGTGTTCATTCAGAATCATTCACAGGTTTGAGGTCTCAAGATGTCTCAAGTAAAAGAGATAGTCTGAAATCAAGTAGTTACGTGTATCATGGAGCATTTGGTTTTTGGGTAAGTTTCAGGATTTTCCACAGTTCCTTCATATTTCTTTCATTTCGCCGTCATTTCCTAGCCGTTTTTCCGTTTCTTTCGGGGCTGAGGCCCTTCTTTCGGGGCCGCTACAGCTTCATCACCAACTGGACCAGTTTTACAACGCCATTCCAAGCGAGAGCCTCAAAACGTTTCAAATCGTTTGTTAACGTGTGAGGAAAAACAGGGAAAAAAGGACGAGAATATGTCTATGACACGGGCTTTAGAAGTATGTCTATAGGATATTCATGGCTATTATACTACTATATTGTATGTATAATTCTATATGATATATGTAGATTGCAAACATTTTTTGATTTTTTTCCAGGTGGAGGGCTTGACCTTGGACTGTCACGCGGTACATGGAAACTTCCTGCGGGAGAACCCGACCAACGTGGCTGTGGTGTTCCACTGCGCCAAAGACACGATGGCTTTGAGTCACAATGTGCCAGCCACCAACATCGATCCAACTGGCCTAGGCCTCCGGCTGGTCAGATCGGGTATCAGGATGATATCAGGATAATATCAGGATAATATCAGGATAATATCAGGATGATATCAGGATAATATCAGGATAATATCAGGATAATATCAGGATAATATCAGGATGATATCAGGATAATATAAGGATAATATCAGGATAATATCAGGATGATATCAGGATAATATCAGGATAATATCAGGATAATATCAGGATAATCAAGATCGGGGCAAACTCAAACATCGACTGTTTTGATGTGACCTGGGAGTGTTTCAGTGTGCAGGTGCCATATGCCAATGAGAGGCGGAGCAGTTTGAGTCTTTGATATCAAATTTGTCAAATGCAGCGACGCTGATCTGCGACACATTGAGTTCAGGTCAAGGAATCAAGGACTTTTGAGGGCCGAATGGCAAGTTTTTCGTGGAAAAAATGGGAGCACAATGCTTGACATGAACATCTCAGTACCAGCAAGTGAATGCACAGAAGCATCGAAGCATCCTTGAGTCTTGGATGATCTTGTCATATCTTATCATCAATCGGGTCACCACATTCAAATTGTTTCAAATTGTTTTCTAGCTCGAAGGCTCTGAGAAGTGCAGAATCGGCTTCACTACGCGGGTTTGTACAGCAAGGCTGTGCTACAAAGGAAAAACACCGATCTCGCATGATGACACTTCTAGTACTTCTCTAATATCCAATGTTCACAAATGTTCACGTGGAATGTTGAAAGACATTTGAAAGTCTTCCGACAAAGTCTTGTTTGTGCAAACAACATGCAACAGTCCAACACGCGACGTTCATGACTTTCCTCATGAGACCTGAGATGAAACTGTTCAAACAATTTCAAGCTGTTCAAACTGTTCAAACAATTTCAAACTGTTCAAACTGTTCAAACAATTTCAAACTGTTCAAACTGTTCAAACAATTTCAAACTGTTCAAACTGTTCAAACTGTTCAAACAATTTCAAACTGTTCAAACTGCTCAAACAATTTCAAACAATTTCAAACTGTTCAAACAATTTCAAACTGTTCAAACTGTTCAAACTGCTCAAACTGTTCAAACAATTTCAAACTGTTCAAACAATTTCAAACTGTTCCAACTGTTCAAACAATTTCAAACTGTTCAAACTGTTCAAACAATTTCAAACTGTTCAAACTGCTCAAACAATTTCAAACTGTTCAAACTGTTCAAACAATTTCAAACTGTTCAAACTGTTCAAACAATTTCAAACTGTTCAAACTGTTCAAACAATTTCAAACTGTTCAAACTGCTCAAACAATTTCAAACTGTTCAAACTGTTCAAACAATTTCAAACTGTTCAAACTGTTCAAACAATTTCAAACTGTTCAAACTGTTCAAACAATTTCAAGCTGTTCAAACTGTTCAAACAATTTCAAACTGTTCAAACTGTTCAAACAATTTCAAACTGTTCAAACTGTTCAAACTGTTTCAAACTGTTCAAACTGTTCAAACTGCTTGCAAACTGTTCAAACAATTTCAAACTGTTCAAACTGTTCAAACAATTTCAAACTGTTCAAACTGTTCAAACTGTTCAAACAATTCAAACAATTTCAAACTGTTCAAACTGTTCAAACTGGTCAAACTGTTCAAACTGTTCAAACTGTTCAAACTGTTCAAACTGTTCAAACTGTTCAAACTGTTCAAACTGTTCAAACAAATTCAAACTGTTCAAACTGTTCAAATGTTCAAACAATTTCAAACTGTTCAAACTGTTCAAACTGTTCAAACAATTTCAAACTGTTCAAACTGTTCAAACTGTTCAAACAATTTCAAACTGTTCAAACTGTTCAAACTGTTCAAACAATTCAAACAATTTCAAACTGTTCAAACTGTTCAAACTGTTCAAACAATTTCAAACTGTTCAAACTGTTCAAACAATTTCAAACTGTTCAAACAATTTCAAACTGTTCAAACAATTTCAAACTGTTCAAACACTTTCAAACTGTTCAAACAATTTCAAACTGTTCAAACAATTTCAAACTGTTCAAACAATTTCAAACAATTTCGAACTGTTCAAACAATTTCTAACTGTTCAAACTGTTCAAACTGTTCAAACTGGTCAAACTGTTCAAACTGTTCAAACTGTCCAAACTGTTCAAACAATTTCAAACTGTTCAAACTGTTCAAACAATTTCAAACTGTTCAAACTGTTCAAACAATTCAAACTGTTCAAACAATTTCAAACTGTTCAAACTGTTCAAACTGTTCAAACTGTTTGCAAACTGTTCAAACTGTTCAAACTGTTCAAACAATTTCAAACTGTTCAAACTGTTCAAACTGCTCAAACAATTTCAAACTGTTCAAACTGTTCAAACAATTTCAAACTGTTCAAACAATTTCAAACTGTTCAAACTGTTCAAACATAATTTCAAACTGTTCAAACAATTTCAAACTGTTCAAACAATTTCAAACTGTTCAAACTGTTCAAACAATTTCAAACAATTTCAAACTGTTCAAACTGCTCAAACAATTTCAAACAATTTCAAACTGTTCAAACTGCTCAAACAATTTCAAGCTGTTCAAACTGTTCAAACAATTTCAAACTGTTCAAACAATTTCAAACTGTTCAAACAATTTCAAACTGTTCAAACTGTTTAAACTGTTTGCAAACTGTTTGCAAACTGTTCAAACTGTTCAAACTGTTAAAACAATTTCAAACTGTTCAAACAATTTCAAACTGTTCAAACAATTTCAAACTGTTCAAACAATTTCAAACAGTTTCAAACTGTTCAAACAATTTCAAACTGTTCAAACTGTTCAAACTGTTCAAACTGCTCAAACAATTTCAAACTGTTCAAACTGTTCAAACAATTTCAAACTGTTCAAACAATTTCAAACTGTTCAAACAATTTCAAACATAATTTCAAACTGTTCAAACAATTTCAAACTGTTCAAACAATTTCAAACTGTTCAAACTGTTCAAACAATTTCAAACAATTTCAAACTGTTCAAACAATTTCAAACTGTTCAAACTGCTCAAACAATTTCAAGCTGTTCAAACAATTTCAAACTGTTCAAACAATTTCAAACTGTTCAAACTGTTCAAACAATTTCAAACTGTTCAAACTGTTCAAACAATTTCAAACTGTTCAAACTGTTCACACTGTTCAAACTGTTTGCAAACTGTTTGCAAACTGTTCAAACAATTTCAAACTGTTCAAACTGTTCAAACAATTTCAAACTGTTCAAACTGTTCAAACAATTTCAAACTGTTCAAACTGTTCAAACTGTTTCAAACTGTTCAAACTGCTTGCAAACTGTTTGCAAACTGTTCAAACAATTTCAAACTGTTCAAACTGTTCAAACAATTTCAAACTGTTCAAACTGTTCAAACAATTTCAAACTGTTCAAACTGTCCAAACTGTTCAAACAATTCAAACAATTTCAAACTGTTCAAACTGTTCAAACTGTTCAAACTGTTCAAACTGCTCAAACAATTTCAAACTGTTCAAACTGTTCAAACTGTTCAAACTGTTCAAACTGCTCAAACTGTTCAAACTGTTCAAACTGTTCAAACTGTTCAAACTGTTCAAACAATTCAAACAAGTTCAAACTGTTCAAACTGTTCAAACTGTTCAAACAATTTCAAACTGTTCACACTGTTCAAACTGTTCAAACTGTTCAAACTGTTCAAACTGTTCAAACTGTTCAAACAATTTCAAACTGTTCAAGCTGTTCAAACTGTTCAAACAATTCAAACAATTTCAAACTGTTCAAACTGTTCAAACAATTTCAAACTGTTCAAACAATTTCAAACAATTTCGAACTGTTCAAACAATTTCTAACTGTTCAAACTGTTCAAACTGTTCAAACTGGTCAAACTGTTCAAACTGTTCAAACTGTCCAAACTGTTCAAACAATTTCAAACTGTTCAAACTGTTCAAACAATTTCAAACTGTTCAAACTGTTCAAACAATTTCAAACTGTTCAAACAATTTCAAACTGTTTAAACTGTTCAAATTGTTCAAACTGGTCAAACTGCTCAAACTGTTCAAACTGTCCAAACTGTTCAAACTGCTCTAAACTGTTCAAACTGTTCAAACAATTTCAAACTGTTCAAACTGTTCAAACTGTTCAAACAATTTCAAACTGTTCAAACTGTTCAAACAATTTCAAACTGTTCAAACAATTTCAAACTGTTCAAACAATTTCAAACTGTTCAAACTGTTCAAACTGTTTGCAAACTGTTCAAACTGGTCAAGCAGTTTCAAACTGTTCAAACAATTTCAAACTGTTCAAACAATTTCAAACTGTTCAAACTGTTCAAACAATTTCAAACTGTTCAAACAATTTCAAACTGTTCAAACAATTTCAAACTGTTCAAACAATTTCAAACTGTTCAAACAATTTCAAACTGTTCAAACTGTTCAAACAATTTCAAACTGTTCAAGCTGTTCAAACTGCTGTTCAAACAACTGTTCAAACTGTTCAAACTGTTCAAACTGTTCAAACAATTTCAAACTGTTCAAACAAGTTCAAACTGTTCAAACTGTTCAAACAACCTGTTCAAACTGTTCAAACTGTTTCAAACTGTTCAAACTGTTCAAACAATTTCAAACTGTTCAAACAAACAAATTTCAAACTGTTCAAACAATTTCAAACTGTTCAAACAATTTCAAACTGTTCAAACAATTTCAAACTGTTCAAACAATTTCAAACTGTTCAAACAATTTCAAACTGTTCAAACAAATTTCAAACAATTTCAAACTGTTCAAACAATTTCAAACTGTTCAAACTGCTCAAACTGTTCAAACAATTTCAAACTGTTCAAACAATTTCAAACTGTTCACAATTTCAAACTGTTCCAACTGTTTAAACTGTTTCAAACTGTTCAAACTGTTCAAACAATTTCAAACTGTTCAAACAATTTCAAACTGTTCAAACTGTTCAAACAATTTCAAACTGTTCAAACTGTTCAAACTGTTCAAACTTCAAACAATTTCAAACTGTTCAAACACTTTCAAACTGTTGAAACAACTTCAAACTGTTCACTGTTCAAAAACTGTTCAACAATTTCAAACAATTTCAAACTGTTCAAACATTTCAAACTGTTCAAACAATTTCAAACTGTTCAAACAATTTCAAACAATTTCAAACTGTTCAAACAATTTCAAACTGTTCAAACAATTTCAAACTGTTCAAACTGTTCAAACAATTTCAACTGTTCAAACAATTTCAAACAATTTCAAACTGTTCAAACAATTTCAAACTGTTCAAAAATTTCAAATTGTTCAAACAATTTCAAACTGATCAAACAATTTCAAACTGTTCAAACAATTTCAAACTGTTCAAACTGTTCAAACAATTTCAAACAATTTCAAACTGTTCAAACAATTTCAAACTGTTCAAACAATTTCAAACTGTTCAAACATTTTCAACTGTTCAAACTGTTCAAACAATTTCAAACTGTTCAAACAATTTCAAACTGTTCAAACAATTTCAAACTGTTCAAACAATATCAAACTGTTCAAACTGTTCAAACTGTTCAAACTGTTTGCAAACTGTTTCAAACTGTTCAAACAATTTCAAACTGTTCAAACTGTTCAAACTGTTCAAGCAATTTCAAACTGTTCAAACTGTTCAAACAATTTCAAACAATTTCAAACTGTTCAAACAATTTCAAACTGTTCAAACAATTTCAAACTGTTCAAACTGCTCAAACAATTTCAAACTGTTCAAACTGTTCAAACAATTTCAAACTGTTCAAACAATTTCAAACTGTTCAAACTGTTCAAACAATTTCAAACTGTTCAAACAATTTCAAACTGTTCGAATGATCCAGTGCCGCGTCGTGCGCCTCGTGCGCCTCGCGTGCCTCGCCTGCTTCGTTTCTTCGGCGGCGTTTCCTCCGTGGCCTCCTCTGAATCCGTGCCGAGACCTGGGAGAGGCGAAATCGTCGGCAGTCAGCTGTTCCATCGTTGTGCAACACGTTGACAATAACATACAATAACTCATAGTTATGTTGAGAAGTTATTGATCAATTGAGGAATATTGAGTAACATATCATAACATTGAGTAACCATATGTAAGGTCGGCATGCATAGAGATTAAGACATGTCTGTTTTGAGAGTTCACTACATGCGCTTTCAACGTTGGGGGTCAGCCTCCCGTGAAGAGTTTGTTTTTTCTACAGTTGGCGTTTTTCTTTTAAAGACGGTAGACTCTTGGGCAGTGAACGCAGACGTTTCATGAGGCTTGCCATGGAAGCTGCGAGATGAATTGCCAGAGCGCAGGCTTCAAGTTTCCGCCTGTGTGGATTGTGTTTCTGCGTTGCGGATACATTGGGATCATTGGGCTTCCACTTCTCACATGTTCAGGAGTAGTTGAGTAGCTGAGTAGCTGAGTAGCTGCCTGGTTTGTTTTATTTTTGCTGTAGGCCTCACCTACTGGCCAGGGACTTAACTTTAGAAGTCGGTGGACGACATGAAAAAAAGGGTGAAATCACCAGTTCGACTCAGTTCGCCACTGAATTCTACCAGCAACTTCTGCAGGCCTGAAACTTGTTGGCCGGTGCATGGAGATGGATGGAGCTGCTCAGAAGCTGCTAATGTGCTAATGTAATGTATGATGCCACACAACTTACACCAGGATAACAGAAAGAAATAAGGATAGCCGATAATAGCTGTTCAAAGCCAATAGCTGAACAAATTGAACTCGTGCAATACACCTCCATCTGGGGAAACATCATCGATTGATTCGTGACCATGAAGAACTATGACCATTTGAGATTGCATGAGAAGTCAAGTTTGCAGGAACTTTTTGATGACTAAGATTCAGAATGATTCAGATTACTATTTTTTTCCCCATTCGGAAAGGTTCTTTGACCAATGGACTGTTGCCAACCCAGTTCTGCCAAGGCTGTGACTACTATGGCGCCCCAGCTGAATGTCTTCGTAATTTCGTAACGTCTTCGTAACGTCTTTGGGATCACTGGAACTCTTTGAGATCTTAGAGAATAGTGCAGGGATGTGCACAGTGAGAGAAGTTTTCTGCTTGAAATTGTGGAAATATGTGGAAATCACGTTTCTGTGCCTTGGGCAAAGGCGGAAGATATTTTTGCCCCGAGCTACACACGACATGGTCGTGTCAGAGTGGCTTTGGCCTTGTTTCTGGCAAAGGCTGTTGCTTGGCAACAGAGAGCATCAGAGCAAGATGCGGCATGATGCTTGACATATCTTGAAATTTATGCAAGACTGCACGCACTGTAGGTGACTAAAAACATCTAAAAACACTGGCCCGATAGGCTGTTCTCGGCCTGGTTTTCATTGGCTGTTGCCCACGGTTGTCCACGGTTGAACACAGTCGTCGCGGCTGTGGCATCTTGCGGCACAGGTCACTGTTGGAGTGGCTATCGTGGCTATTCGAAGTGCTGCCCATGTCCTGAGGCTGAAAGTGTTACTGGAAAGCCTGGGACTGGTGGGATTGGTGGGATTGGTGGGATTGGAACCTGTGAAACCTGTGAAGTTCACAGCTATGATAGCCTGTGAAGTGTTGAGCATGGCATGGCTATGGCAGGCTATGGCTGAGCTGTGCGCATTGCCAGGTCGAGAATTGCGCAGGGCGCGAGTACATCAGCTGCAGCAGCACGAAACGTGCTTGGGGCACAGGCAGCTGTCTTACTCGGCTTAGATATGTTTAGATCGTTTTAGTAATTTTAGTGTCAATGTTCGTTAGGTGTTCATTTGGTCTAACTGTTAGGTGTTCGTTTGGTCTAATCGTAGCATTTCGTAAAGCGTCTCAGAACGACTCGATGTAAGAAGACTTTTTTTTGCCATCCTTGGCTTCGGTTGCGTTTTTGTTCTTGCTGCGTTTCGTTTTAATTCGTTTTACCTGTTAGATTTCTGGATTTTATTTTTTGCCTGCTTGATCTACTTGTTTATTTTGAGTTGCAGCTTCACAGGTAATCTCACTCATTTGCACGCTTCTCGCTGCTCTTTGTGCAAACCCGGCTACGCGAAGAGCTACTTTGCTCTGAATTGAATTCAAATTGGTTTGAAGAGTTCGAATGTAAAGATGCCAATCCGGTGTTTTGGAGAGAATTGCTTGTGTCATTGCAGAGTCGCTGTTGAAACGATTGGATCCTTTTGATTCCTGTGCTCATTCTGCTCAGGCTCCGACAATACAAGTTGTTTGCGGTGAGCAGCACGTTTGGCAATTTGCTGGGACCATTTTGTACGGCACTGTGAACATTCTGTTTTCACAGATTTCCAGCGGAGTCGCGGTGAGCAGCACGGCCAAAGATTTGCTTCAAACCCTTGGGTCATTCCATGTTATTCCAGTTTCCCATCTGACAAACGGTTCCGTCATGGTCACCACACCTGGCTTCGGATGTGTCGGAAGTCTGGGTGACGGAGTGAACAAATGTGAACAATAATTACCTCTGAATCGGAAACCTTTCAGGGGAACCACTCAACTGTCGTTAAATATTCAAATATTATTGAATCATTTCGAATCCATGAGCTGCTGGAACCATCCAACAGCATTCCTGGCTTGCCTCTGCAACATTTGAACCCCAAGACGCACTCACTATCATCTTCAAGATCGTCACCACATCCCGCATATTTTGGATCCTGGCCAAGAAGGGTGAAACAACATCCCTACAACATCAAATAACAGTTAAATAACATCTAGAAAGAAACCAAATCACCCTTGATATCTCTTAAGCCTTTTTTTGACGGTGCATATTTTGTCTCACACATCAAGATAGATGAATTGTAGGCCTCCCAGTAATTCAAAGGCAATGTTTTTTAGACCCTCATCGAAGATATCTCTTTGCCCTGGGTGCCAAGGGGTCTGTGAATTGAAGATCATATCAGATGTGCATATAATATGTATGTGCATGTAATACAGTGTATTATGTATGTACTCAATGTACTCATTCAGTGCGTCAAATGCTTTGCTATGCCTTGGGCCTTGGGCAATATTTGGCTGAAATGATGGTTTGTACATGCACCAAGGGTGTCATATGGTTGCATATTTGCTTGGTGTCTCACATCGCCACCGGTGTCAAGCCAAAGTCAGGCAGCCTAAGGGCAACCATGTGTTCCAGATGAACGAAGTGCATCCCAGTGCTGAAAGCCAAAAGGGCTTCCTCAAGAGACCGGCAGCTCCAAGCTCGCGGCAAGTACGAATCCTTTCATATCCTTTCCCAGTTCAGCTTAGTTCAGCCAGTTCGCTCCTCGTTCTTGGTGGATGTGGATGGTTACGTTGCAAAAGGAACTGCAGTGACCTGCAGACTTCCCCAAACAGTTCTTGCACCAGCACTTTGGGCGACGGTTCAGTGACCAGCCCTCAGAAGCAGCGTGGTTGCGCTGCCTCTGTGCGCACCAAAACAGCTCCGGTCATCGGTGCTTCCCGTATCCATCTGGGCAACGTGAGCTTCGGCAAGATGGAGAGTGATGCCTCCGACAAGAACATTGCCTACATGTAGGATGATGAGGCAGATGGATGGCCAAACCACTTGTTAGACGGAAAGACCCCATGTAGAGGTCAATAGCTGCCTACGCCAGAAAAATCGTGATAAGTTGGAACAAACGTTGTGTGAAACTATGGTCAGAAACGCTAAATCGCACGAAGTGATGACTGGAAGTTCCAAAGTTTTGAATACGGCTGCGGACATTGAGATTTATATAGGTTGAAATAGTGAGAGACAAATTTTCTTTGAGATTTCTCACAGCATCACTCCGACTGCCCGATCCACAGCCACTCGTTTGGATGGAAATAGTATTAGTGCAGTATTTATAGAGTAAATTGAAATAAATTGAATAGATTGAATAGAGCAAAAACCTTGCACAGATGTCACGAATCCAGACGTCGTACGAAGATGTTTCCGCCGCTTGCTCAACTTTGCTCAAAGTGCTGTGTTCCAAGGAATATCAAGGAATCATGAAAAGACACAAAAAAAACATGAACACAAACTATTAATAAGATCCAAGAACCACTCGGCTTCAGAGAAGCGCTCTTAGAATCAAAACCTCACACGCACAATGTGTCACAACTTCTCACACAACTTCTCCGTCTATCAGAGTCTGTCACAATTACATGTCGAGATGTTGCAGAAAACAACTTGGGTGGACGGTCGAAACATATCAAAGAAAAAGGTAGACGACAAGGACATTTAAATCAGCGCTGATGCCAATTACATAAAATCCAAAGGCGCGATGCAGTTTTTTTTTGGATGTTCTGAATGCAACTAGTATCACATAGTATCACTATCACATACTATGGCCATTGTTATGAAACGCACATTGTGGGCTGACGAGGCTGGGGGACGAGCGGCACTGTTTTGTCCAGTGTTTTTTGTCAGTTCAACGGAAAGGCATACCGATTGAAATGAGGTCAACGGTGCCACCAGTGCCCTGGATGAGTTGACCACCACAAATCTGTAAAGTTACAAGCGCAACAGGACGGAAAAGCAAGGGGCGGAATATTGGGGACACATTCCTGTCCAAAATTTTGGAAACTGAATCGGTTGCAAATATAACCAGAAATAATTAAATAGAATAAGAGGATGATATCCCAATCTCATTTTTTTTATTGCTGCAAGGTTTTTTACGAGTTTGGGTCATTCCAAATTTAGCCGTTTAGTTTCTGGTCTTCAATCCGACATTTCTTGGCAGGACCTGGAGTGCTTTGGCTTGGTATTGCCGAACAGCACCATCCCGCCCTTGGTTTTCATCAGCAACAAATAAGTCAGATGTGTTCGGTATTGTTCAGTTATAGTAAGACTATGTAAGGCTCATTAAGTTCCACATTTTGTTTCGTCAGACCCCAGCCGTTCCGTTTCCCAAATCATGTCTTGCGAAATCATCCCAGGTGATGTCCATTGCCTTTGTTAGAGGTCCTCTTAACATTGTTAAGATTTGTTAAGTAAGTTGCATGCCAGTTTCGGAAAAAAACGCGTAGAAGGACAATTTCACATTGCGACCCTTGCAGCTGCGACTGCGAGTTTGCCAAGGTAATGCCAAGGATTCGAAAAGGGATCAACCCTGCCCAGGACGGATTGTGCTGGCATTCCTGCACACCAACAACTCCCAAAAAACAAACAAATCAGATTGACTCAGCATATTCAATCGACACATATGTATGAAATTGTATGAATGGATCACATCGGTTGTTACCACTAGCTGTCACTAGCTAATCATGATAGAGTCTTTTACCTTCCAGATTCGGACCGGGTAACAAGCCGCGGGTAACATCCGAAGGAGAATCATTTCACCGCTTGGCCATACATTCGTATTTTTGCCATTTGCCGCCAGGATCCCAAGTACCAACATGCTCTGCAAGAAAGAGATCGAGCAGTTGAGATTGTCAGAGCGGCACTTCACATCACTCCAAATGTGATTCGGACGTGGGTTCAGCACTTCGACCACAAATTTGATTCTTGGAGGGAAAAAACGACATTTTGAGTCAACGATGATTTGTTTTGATGATTTCTCCAGTCACCAGTCTGTTGGACGAGCATTTGAAGATGCGTCACCTTCTCTCTTTGGAACAAATACATGGCAGGCTTAGCTTAAAAAAAATGCCAACATTTCACTTCTCACTCGGAAAGCGCCAAACTTCCCACACGGGGATTCCAGGAACGGCAGATCGATTGCCAAAAGTTCTGTGCTGGTTTGCGCGCTTTGAGATTTGAAGGCGAGGTACAATGGCCATCCTCCATCCCAATCTATGCATTTGAGATAGAGATACTGCAAACAGACAGATAGAATCAGATAGATTGGTAGGTAGGTAGATAGAAAGATAGATAATTAGATAAGTAAAAGATAGATAGACACCCACCTAAAGCACGGGGTTGGAGTTTCTTGAGGCTGCAGATGATAACATGTTGTTTGATGTTTTTTTTTGATGGTGAAGGTGTTGACTTTGCACCAAAAGGAGGACACAACAGCAATGCATTGCCGCGGGTTGAGCCATCTCAGGCGACCCAGAGCTTCTCTTTCTTCGCTTGGACGTGGACAAGATTGATGAGGCTCTCGTTCCCGGGTTCCCTCCAAAATGGACAAATTTCTGAAAAAGGGAAAGGACACGAAAGGAAATCCCAAAACTACAGATCATGTTGCCAAATCAGAGCGATTGCCATACCTAGTTTCAAAACACGCAGCTTTGTATCATATTATAGTGAGCTGTGTCATTTGATTTTGCTTCTCAAGTCATTGTATGAGTGCGGAGTCGCCAGACAAGTATCTGATGTGATTACGTCCTTGCATGAATGATTTCTTGACTCTGTATGTCTATTCCACCCTCTTTCTTTTCTTCTGGCATCTTCTGGCTTTCTTCCTGTAAATATCACATTTCCAATACATGTCCTGTCACTTCTTGTGATTGTTGACATTGTTGCTAGAAATATGATTGTTTTTACCCGTTGCATATCGTTGCATTCTCTGCACTCGGTCGAGGTCACTTTGGATATCATTGATCCTGATGCAGCAAAGAATCTTGGCTTTGGCCATGCTATTGGTCTTGCCAGATCCATCCTGGTGTAGTACGGCGTTACGGCGTAGACTCACAAGCATAATTTCGGAACCACCCTGCCTAGCAGTTTGCCACTTTACACTTTACCTTTCCGCTGATCCATTCTCACGAGTATTTTCTAAGCGTCAGATGCCTTCGCCTTCATTTGAGGCTCTGGATGGGTTTTCGCATGTGGTGTGTCAAGACCTTTACCGATGAAAAGACGATGATCAATGAGCTCTCACGCCTTGATCCCAGAAAATATATCAGAAGATGGCAGCTCGCAATGTCAACTCCCAGGTAAGGTCAACGGTTTCGTGTATAGAATCTGGAAGTCTTTTTGTGTCGTTGGCCCAGTGCCACATACCTGGATTTTTGTACCAGTTTGCTGTCCTAGAGTTTGCGTCTTAAGCCTTGAACATTGTCATGACGTTGCTTTGTGAGGTGGCTATGGTAGCGCCAGCAGGGACGCCTTTCTGACGAACCTCCGGCGCTTGGGATGGGGTGGTGAAAATGAAGAGCTCCTCTTTGAAGCTTTGAATCTCCACGACAAGCAGGACACCGAGACGCGCATAAGCAAAGGTTACTAAGGTTGCGGGCCACAGAGATCAAACTCAATCAGATTGGAGGGTTTCTTTGGAACATTTTGGAACGGTCTGGTGGAACACGCTTGCGGTTGGCAACATTGTACAACTGTTTATACCGTATTACCGGTTCGATGTATTTTCAGTGTAAGGAGCTCCGACCCTACGATTTGACATTCTTCGCGGTGGACAAGCGGAAATTTATGAAAGCTCGAAAGGTCGGGTTTGGGAATGTTGGGGCCGGGTCGAAGATGTCGTGCTCTCGTCTCGCGATGACTTTTCCGAACAGTTGATTTTGATATCGAATCTAGGATGAGCCACACTGTAATTAGATGGGCTCAAACCACCACACGGATGAACATGACAAACGAAGATTCCCCCGAGCTTTCTGTCCAGGGCATGCCAGAAGCTGTGAAGCTCAAGACCCATGCGGCGCAGAAACGGACCTTGATGACCAAAGCGCGGAAGGATTTCAAGGCCAGGTCTAGAGGGAAAGTCAATGAAAGTCATTATTGTACTATACTGTAAATTACTGTAGACTATACTTGTAGGTCTCTGAATAAGTCTTGAACGTTTGGATTCTTGGTACCCTGACTCTACGATTGCCAGAAGAACATGCTTTTCTGGAGGCATTTCTGAAGAAGAAATTTGCGCCTTGGAGTTCGACAGATAGTTTGGTTTGCTTACCGAGCACGGACAATTTTGTTTTCGGCCGACATTAATATAAATTAATCCAGTTTTCCAATTTTTCCATTTTTTCCAATGTGTTTCAACCATTTTCAACCTGAGGGAACGCTTCTGCGGGCTTGGCGCACATTGGATGCCGACGACAGCATGTTCATGCAGAAGAATGAACTCTTTCGAGCTGTCCCGTAGCTGCGTCATGACATGTCATGTGAGGATAATATGAGTTTGGCATAGTTTGGCACAAAGCATGTCTTGCATGTCCAAGAATACCGAAGCATACCGAAGCATACCGAAGCTCAGGTTGTTGCTGTTTCTTTCTCAGCGCAGACTCAGGTCAAAGACCTGTGCTGGCAAGGTGATGCTCGGATTTTGTGGCAAGGTTTGGACAAGGCGTGGTTGTGATGCAGCCTTTGTTGACATTTCCATTTTGATGTTTTTTGATGTTTTTTGGCCATACCAAAGTAGCTTGGAGTTGTGCCATACTATGTGAGCATTTCAGGAGCATAAGAAAGGGTATAACTCGCACCATGAAGATGAAATTGCAGGGCTGGCAAACTGGCAATTTCCCTGAAGCAATGAGCGTCATGCCATTGTCATGTCCCATGGTGATATTTGCAGGTATGTCCCAGATTTGCAGAGTTAACATGAGTTAACTATGTACTATGCTGAGCAGTTCGATGCAGTTTAGACAGAAAAAAGCAAGCGAAGCGTGTGCCCTTGTGCAATGGCAAAAATACTAAACTGCACAGACAGTCAAACTTAGGTTCACAATAGGCAAAACACTACGCAGCCATGGATCGAGCCAAAATAAACAGTTCAAATTATGCTAAAATCAACCAACAGTCACTCGTCGTAGAAAATAAACTCACAACGACGGGCTGCCGCTCAGGGTATATCAGAAATTGTTGGCATGCCCCACAAGGGCGTGAGAGCTGGTGCACCACCACAGTTACTTTGTGTCTTTTTTCCACATGTTTGTCCTCTGAAATACAAAACATAAGTCTAAACAAGCTTTGTCGCAGCTTTGTTTTGTTGGGAGCTTTTGCATTTTGTTGGTCCTTGTCCCTTCGCGCTGTAACTTGCATCACTTCGCAACAGCTCGGGTTAAGTCGCGTTCCAAAGGGTTTGTCTCCGGACTCGTTGGCATACTGTTTCTGTTTATCGCTGTGACGTTGTCTTGACGCTGAGTTGATGACGTTTGCTGACAAGTTCTTGTTGATTTCAATCCCCAAGTCGTTTTTCGGAGGATGGCAGCGGGATTACAACGTTGCAAGAGTTGGATCTGAAGAGCGCAGAGCAGTTTCTCGGTGAAGCTCAGTGTGGCATTGAGTGCGAACCCTTCACGTACCAACAAAGTCAAAGAAAAGATTTAAAGATCAACAAAGATCAACAAAGCAGTGAAGAAAATCTTCGAAAAGAACAAACTGTGATACAAACATCGACAAGTCACAAGTCGTTTGTTTGGCATCCGAATGAACACATAGCACCTAGAACATGTTGACAAGTCTTGTGGTCTGGATGTGACGGCAAACAGTTATGTGCTGCATCGATTGCGAGATCAGCTAGAAATCAAGTTGGCTTTGTAGAATCAACATGTTTGACAGCGCGTGCCTGTACTAAGGAAATCTAAGGAAACAACTGACATCTATCACAAGCAATATCAATGCAACAAATACGAAACGTTAGACATTAGATGAGTTGAAGTATGTTGTATTAGCAATATCAATAGGAAATAGCTATCATTAGATGAGTTGAAGTCCCACTGTTGTTGTTCCTGATGTTGTTTCCATGTTGTTTCCCTAAGGCTCGCCAAGTTCAAGCAACAGGTTGGTGAGAAGTTCGGAGATGCGCAGGACCACGGATGATCACGGTTTCATAGCCACAAGTGACAAGTGACCCAAGTGACACTGTGACACTAAAGTGATCGATCTTTTAAATCATTAGCTATCATTAGCTGCTTTGTTTAAGCCTTGTTAAAACCTTTTAGATCGGTTGATGACATTTGATGACTGCCCATCGACATTGCCCAGGCCTTTTTCCAAGCCATTGACACCAGCAGAATCAACAAAGTTCGTCAACAAGATTTCATTGAAAAATGCGCCTTGCCCCATATTTTTCTTGTGACGTCAAGTTCTGCGCCTTACCAACTACATAAATATAACAGCATATAACACCGTTTCACATGCAGGCTTCAGAGTCGCCATTTTTCTAGAACAACTTGACATGATACCTTTGGATGTTTGGTTGTTTTTTTAAGCACACCACATCACGCGTTTAGAACTCAAACATAAATCAGTAGATTCAATAGAACTACAGAGAATCAATAACAGACACTTACTTTTTGGACCCTCGAATGTGGCGATGGAAGGTGCATAAGTTTGACAGGATTTGTACTCAGTGATCTCAGCGTCACTCAGAATGTCACTCACGTCAAGTATTTTAAGATATTTGAACTACGCCATTATGCCCCTACATGAAGATGACACCAGCACAGGACTCGCCTGAATTTCTCTGTGTCCATTTAGCTGTGACATAGGAAAGGTTTCAATTTCAATAGCGACAGCAACACAGACAACACGCAAAAGCATAGAATTAGCGTAGAAGCATGTGACATCCAGTGACAATGGTGCGATAAAAGTAGAATATGGCAGCAGATGAAAAGATGGTGGTCTTATGTTTGATCAACGCACCATTTGAATTTCATTGAATTTCAATACGGAGTCAGTCCGCGAATGGATTGGCTGTTCATGCGTGCAACAGAGAGTCTATTGCTCGAACGCGCAAGATTTAGCAGAGACATCATTTGTTCATATTTGTTCGAGATCAGTTCGTACATCAGACTATCATCAGATACGAAACTCTCCGTAAGAACAGAGGTTTCGTTGCAGTCTACGCAGGTGCGCACTCCATCCCTCGCCGCGCTAAAATTCGCACAATGTAATTGGTCTTGACAAACTAAAAACAATGTTGACAAGTTGACAATATTTTATGTTGTGTCATACTGTTTCCATCTGTTTCCTGTTTCCTCTGAATCGATAAAAGTATATAAAAGTATTTAAATGTGAAATATACAGCGACAGGTTCACCAGAATGCCCCCGACTCGCTTAAAATTGTGACTTCTCTTGGAATTTGTGTCGTCGCTCAAGAGACATCTCAAGAGACATCTCTTGACATCTCTTGGTCAATGTCCACAGTCTCAGGTGATCGCTTTGGGATCACACGAGCGGACAAACGTTTGTTTCATGGTCTCGACTGGGAAGGCAAGAAGTTCCTCACAGCAAAGGACAGCCTGTTTCAATCTATTTCATAGAAAAACAGGTGAAGTTTCACGCGATTTCATGTGAGAATGTTGTGAGAATCGGATGCGGAAACCTGCGGAAACCCTGAGCATCCCGAGGTCCCGAAGCCCATAAGATTTCACCACCATTTTTTGGGCCACAAAATCAGGTTTTGGTGCCATAAGATTTACAGATTTACAAGGAAAAAAATGTAAAATACCCTAAAATAGATAAATAGTCACAAGCGGCCCTTTCTTGAGATCTGAACAATGGGAGGGGCGGACAGCATTTCAAGTTAGTCCAAGCGCCAGGATTTGTCGTTTGTCGACCTTTGGAAATGTCCTCGGCGTTGCCCCTAGCAGAAGCTCAGACGTTTTTTGGACATGGTTTGACACACCTTGACGTAAAAAACCTGCGAAAATCCCATGCTTTTCAGCCGTCCGATGCGATTTGGATCGATTTGGATCGATTTGGTTTGAGGTATCTCACATGCTCGGCCAATGCTCAAGCTGCGCGCGACTTTAAAAGTGCATTACTGTGGCTCGACAAAGCACCATTTTGAAAAAATTGTGATGCAGAGACGAGAGTGGATTGATGACTGCACAAACTTCATCAAACTTCCAACATCGAAGTGTGGTTACAATTGGTTACATAGATTGGCATAGATTGGCAACATCTAAGATGTTCTAAGATGTTCTAAAATGTTCTAAGATGTTCTAAGTTAGACTGAGTTCGATTAAGTGAGTTGTTTCGGGCCGTTTCGGATGAGTTTCTTGACATCGAATTTCGAATTGTCCCATTTGTCCCACATGTTCCCAGATTTTCTCAACGGTTTCATCCTGTTTTCATCCTAAACTTCAGCACATCGAGACATTTTCAGCACGACCTGTCTGGGTGCATCTGGTGCCAGGCAGATTTACCCAACGGTCCTGAAGGCATGGCGCCAGCTGTTGGACCGGGATGGAAGCAACGTCGCCCTGCTCTCAGCGTCGCAATGCGACACGACACGTCGGATTTCCGACACGACATGAATCGACTTAAGACATTTTCGAACATTTTCGGACACCAAATAAGTTGAGCATATTTGAATATATCCGAATGCTTGTTATGCTTGTATCATGTTGTATTATGTTGTATCTGATTGTATCCGTATTACCGTATTGTATCCGTATCTGTGATTTTAGACACGCAATTGTTATCGAGTGTCTGTTCATGGTTCATACAACATGTTTCAGCTCTGTACACATTGTGTGACATAGATTATGTACTGATTGATCTGATTGTATGAGATGCAAGATGTTTAAGGTTGAACAATGTGGAACATGATTTTGAATATGACTTTGAACATGATTGAAGCAGATCCATTCATCGTTGCCAGTTTCAGCCAATTTTTTCAGCCAGTTTCAGCCGAGGTCGGTTGGGAGGAGTTTGAGGCTGCGGCCAAGCGCCTGAACTTTCAGGGCGATTTGCCAGGTGCCTGGCGCTTCTTTGATCAGGAGCGACGTGCTCGACGTGTTTGCAAACGTGACATATCGTGACATATCGTGACATCAACTGAGATGGAGATGTTTGGTTCATGGTCCGACTTGGTCCCCACTTACATCTTGGTTTAAATATGGTTTCACGTCGGTACGCCAGACATGCTTGATTTGGATGTTCATAGCAAAAGCTTAAAGTTTAAACTTAAGGCTACCAAAGCTATTACATCAGGAGAGAACCAGAGAGAACCAAATGAATACCGTTACACTTCTGTTTCAGTTTCGAACACACTTGGACTCTACACTTCTTTCACACTTCTTGGAGGTGTGTAAAAAAAGAACAAGTGACGCAAGTGAAGCAGGTGAAACAAGTGAAGATGAAACGGAGAACATTAATTGATATTGATATGTAATAAAAATTGTAATAAGATGTAAAAACCACAAGTTTTTGCACTTTTGACTTACTCTCGCATTTCAGTGTTCATGTGTACGGCTTCATGCAGGAAACCTGAGACACTTGAACATCTCAAGTGCAAAAAGTGAATGGAAAAACATGACAAATGTGGAACATGGAAAACCGTGGAAAAAAGTGAAAGTGAAACCCATATATGAAAAATGTAAAGCCAATGTGGCAAAACCTTACATTGCTGCACTCTTGCTTCGCTTTTGCATGTGAGTTTTCGTTTGTACGACTGTAGAAGGGTAATCTGAGAGATCTAGATTGTAAAAAAAGTGGACGTGCGCGAAAAAGGTGTAAACAAAAATAATGAAGGAAACACGTGAAAAACATTGAACTTTTACACATGTTTGCACCGCCTTTCACTTGTGCAACTTTATCAATGGAATCTGAAACATCTAAACGTGTAATTTTTTAGCATCCACAAACTGAAGTACACTGTGTATTAAAGTGTGAAAAATAACTATTTCAGGATTCAGGTATGAAACTGTGATTTGGCATTCATGAGCCTAACAAACAAGTACTATGTTAGTGTGTTGATCTTTTGACATCTTTTGACATCGTGTTTGATCTCACAAGACAAGGGTATGGACATTTGATACACTCCGGAAAAGCTATGGATGTTTCTTCGGTCCAAGGGGATGTCCTTGGTTTCTTCAGAACTTTCACCCGGTTCAGTGTAGACATGTCGAAGTTCGCAGGACATCAGCGGAAGTATCTCTTTCGGTCTGAGCCTCAGGGTCAAGACATACAAGCGACAGTGGACGAGAAACTGCACATGAGAATAATGGATAGATATATAATATAATTACATATATATATATATATTTACATATTATATCACATATATATAAAATTATAATTAGTAGTTATATAATTATATATACAGTTATAATTAATTATATACAGTACATACACATACATACATATATATATATATGGATGTGCGATTTAAATTCAGGTACGTTCTGTTTACCATGGTGCAGACATGTGCAAACTAAATGAAGACAATCATAAACTAAACGCGCAGGGTTATGACTTAGGTGAGTTGGATGTCGCTTCATATGCCGAGTCGAAACCCCAGCAAATCCATTCGTGTTGGAATCAGCACGGATCCACCGTTGGGTTCTTGTCCTTTTCAAGCTATCCCAGGTTGAGACCCAGATGGACCCAGGTATCAGTCACGAGTCCCCATTACATGCCTATGCAGTCGATGCATACTAAGATATACTAAGATTTACTAACCATACTAATATTTATGACATTTTCATCAGCCCATACCAAGGCTTTCAAACTTCAAGTCATGGGCTGATGAAGAGTTTGGCGGTGTGCGAGCTGCCTTCGCGGTGCTGGATGAAGACAATTCGGGGGACTTCAACGTGAGAGAGTTCATCAAGATGTTGCGGGGCCACAAAGGTGCTTCAATGACTCAGGAAAATTCAGGAAATGCATTAAAATTTACTAAAAACAGAAAAGATATGAAACCATTGGAATCATTGAAATATGCGACATATGTTTCGTTATTTGCATCTCTTTGCCATGTTCATTTTATTTGAATGTGTATTTATATATAGTATATCACTGTATGTATACTTATATATATATACACAACATTTAGATAGATTTAATATGTTAAAAGCAACACGCACCCAACATGACTGTTGTGCAGTTGTTTATCTTGTGCCAACATGCGGCCCAACACTAGGCCTTTGAGCCTAGCCAACAATACAGGAAAAGTGCGCACAGCAACAACAGTGTCAACAGTGCTGCGAAACTTTTCATGGTAGCGGAGCAGTGATCCTGGAAGCATCCAGGTGAGCTCCAACACAACAGACAACAACAAGGAGCACTTGTGTAGCAGCCCAACAGGAGAGGGAGCACTGGGGGACCCTCAGCAAACAAACCATAACTGCAACAACAGGAACGAGGAAAGAAGTTCTGCAACAAATAGCCGTGCGAGGAGAAAGGAGAAGGGCTTGATCCCAACTCAAGAGTGTGGGGGACCTTCAACATAGGAACACCAATGGCAGCAAACAAAGAAGCATCAGAAGCACTTGCCTCAACACACAGACTGAGGTTGAAGCCACCAACATACGATGGAAACTATGCAACGCTTGACGGGTGGAAGTACAAATTCATTGTCCACATGGGTATACGGGACAGCATCTACCCTGACCTGCTAGCAAGAGCAGAAAGGGCAACAACAGCATTCACAAATGCAGAACTAGCAGCTGCAGCAGGAACACTTGAGGAAGCAGAACGCTGAATACAACTAGCCAGCAACCTCAGGCACACCCTAATCAGCACAACATCAGCTGCAGCAGCCACATTGTGCTGACAACACCAAGCAGCAATGGTTCTTGAAGTATACAGGCAGATTTGCCAACGCTTCCCAATCCCCGTGTGAACAAGAAGCGTTGGCTATCTCACAAAGTTGCTCAAGCCAACTTTCAACCACAACAAGTTTGAGGAGTCATTCTCAACATGGGAATTCGAGGTCGGGGGCTATCAGCGAGACAACAACACCCCATTTCCAGAGCAAGTCAAGATAGCAGTCCTCATGAATGAGACAACAGGCCCTTCATCTACACCTGAATGCAGGAAAAAAAAGCAAACGGGGAACAAGCGTGGCAACCAGTGAAAGGAACAGACAAAGGACAAGGAAAGAAAGAACAAAGGAGCCAACAACCAAGGGAAAGGAAATAACCCAATGGCAGTATGCCACAGGTGTGGCCAACCAGACTTGGCCAAAGGCTGCAAAACTGCAGTCTACAACTTGTCGGACACAACATATGAGCAACAACACGAAAGCGCGGCACAATGGTATTATCCAAACACTGGCTACGATGCCGGCTGGTATAGCAGTGACCAAACAGGCTATTACCAAGACTATAGGCAACAATGCCCGGAGCCCCAACAAACACCACAACCTGCGCTGACAGCACCACCACCCACAACAGCGCAGGAACAACAGGCGCCAGCAATACATCTTGTGCCAGAAAGATGTCAACAACACCAACGGCATCAACACTTCAGTCAGTCCAACAGGATGGGATGAAGCTGAAGCCGACATTATGATCGAAGGTGGTGCAGCAACGCATGTCTGTCCAGCATGGTTTGCGCGCGACTCACCCATGTACACACTCCAACATGGGCAGGGGCCGCAACTGAGAATAAGGGTTCAACATACAGCTAAACCACACACACACACAGGGATTCAACTCAGCACTTGTTCAACGTGATGAACTTTACGTCATGAACAATGAACTTTACATCAAACGACCCAAGGGACAACAGCAAAGATCACACGAGTTACCTTGACACCAGCTGGCATGTAGGTCTTGCGGACCAGAAATGACCTCTGGACATTCAACAGTCAAGGATGCCTGGTGAGAGCGCGCAGAAGACAACGCAAAGCACTCTTCATGCCAGACCAACGGTGTCCAGTTCCAACAGAAAGCTGGAGGACTACAGAAGAACAATTGTAAGAAGAAACAATGCCAACAATGAGAACATGCAGGGGCGGTGTCTTGCTTGTAACCCCAAATACTGCCCGCTTGTACCTCCAAAATCATCACCTTCTTCTTCATCATCATCACCACCATCATCATCATCATCACCTTCTTCTTCATCATCACCACCACCATCATCACCATCATCATCATCATCATCACCACCTTCATCATCATCATCATCATCACCATCTTCAACATCGATCTCATAAGCTTAGGGTACAGACCCCGCCCTGCCTAGAGCCAAAGGACGTTATCACAACCCAACCCACCCCACCCCCAGGCCAGAGCCAGGAGAAGATCTGATGGCTAGCATCATGTCGGTGTGCGAGTGCAAGAGATAGTCTGATAGCGTAGCATATGTGTTGAAGTGCAAGAGAAAATCTCATAGCGTCAGGATATAACCCCTGTGCCTAGAGCCACAAGAGGTTATTACACCCCACCCCACCCCACCCCCAGGCCAGGGCCAGGCATCATTGTCATGTCAAGACCTCACAGCGTAGCATATGCGTGGAAGTGCAAGAGAAGATTTCATCCCCACCGCACCCCACTCCGCCCCACCCCCAACAACACGTGATGTGAGCAGAAGGTCTGAGGTACAAGTAAGCGGTTTTCCGAGCCGCAAGTGAGACATAGGAGAGGCAAGCGAGACAGAGTCGCAAGTGAGCGGTTTTCCGAATCGCAAGTTGAGACGTTCCCCCTTTGAGGATGCGTACCAAAAATTTGACACCAAAGAGGATTCTTGGAGGAGAACCTTGGACAGGAGAGACATTACCGCTGACAAGGCCAACATTTTCAACAGAGGTGGAGTTTTGACACAGTTCCAACTCTTTGACAACTATGAGTTGTCAACATCGGAGCTGGTGCCACAGACTCACCCCCAGATGAAATTACAGTGGTCCAACATTTTCTCAAATACTGTTGGAACCACAACGTCATCTGGACCTACAACTTGGTCGTCTCCGTTGAACAAGTCCTCTCAACAGAGGACGTGGGAAGCTAGACCCATTATCCAACATCCGAGGCGGTTCAACTTGGTGGACTTGCGCTCATCATCAACTGCTTGGATGGCGCAATTCAGCAGAAGATGGTTGCATATAGCTTGCAACATAACACCATGGTGGAGAAGAACAAGGTCCTCACAACGGACCACATTAGAGGATCTCCTGAATTTGCACCAAGAATGGTGCAACGCATGATTGATGGGCAAACAAATGTTAAATATCAGCAGCAACAGCAGGCCGCTGATGAGGAGACGCAGGCAACAGAGGGTGTGCCGATGGAAGCAACTCTGGCAGAGCCAACAAGTGGTAGCAAGCCAACAGAGCAGAAGAGCGCAACATGGAAATTATATAACACCTGAGAGTTCCAATGAACAGGCACGCACTGAGTCTCAGCAGAAGACGCCTTTTATCAACACTGTTGGATTGTAAAGGTGCACAGGTTGATTCCCAGCAACTACCAACATAATACTGTTCAGTTCAACATGCTAGTGGTGTGAGAAACAGAGTGATGCAAGACCGCATCAACCTGAGGGGCTGTATTTGAGAACAACTCTCTCCCCCAACATGACCGCTGTGCAGTTGTTTATGTTGTGCCAGCACCTGGCCCAAGATTAGGCCTTGAGCCTAGCCAGCATTACAGGAAAAGTGCGCACAGCGACAGCAGTGTCAACAGCACCGTGAAACTTTTCAATATAATGTTGACCCCGGATTAATAAACCCCCCCCCCTATAGGTCAACTAGGTCAACAAGGTCCAGCGAGGAGGTCCAAAAACCGAACCCCCCAAATAATGTGACCATTCATTCATCCATAAACGATTATTATAAGATTCCTATGGGAAAAGATTGGAACCAATGATAAACCATCAGATTCCTATAAGAAAAGATGAGAAAACTTATGATAAACCATCAGATTCCTATGAGAAAAGATGAGAAAACGTATGATAAACCATGAAATTCCTTTCAGAAAAGATGAGAAAACCTATGGTAAACCATGAAATTCCTATGAGAAAAGATGAGAAAACCTATGATAAACCATCAGATTCCTATGAGAAAAGATGAGAAAACCTATGGTAAACCATCAGATTCCTATAAGAAAAGATGAGAAAACCTATGGTAAACCATGGGATTCCCATGAGAAAAGATGAGGAAACATATGTAATACCATCAGATTCCTATGAGAAAAGATAAGAGAACCTATGGTAAAGCATCAAATTCCTATGGAGATTTGAAAATTAGTGGTAAACCATCAAATTCCTATAAGAAAAGATGAGAAAACCTATGGTAAACCATCAGATTCCTATGAGAAAAGAGGAGAAAACCTATGGTAAACCATCAGATTCCTATGAGAAAAGATGAGAAAACCTATCGTAAACCATGGGATTCCCATGAGAAAAGAGGAGAAAACCTATGGTAAACCATCAGATTCCTATGAGAAAAGATAAAGAGAACCTATGGTAAAGCATCAAATTCCTATTGAAAGATTAGAAAATTAGTGGTAAACCATCAAATCCCTATGAGAAAAGATGAGAAAACCTATGGTAAACCATCAGATTCCTATAAGAAAAGATGAGAAAACCTATGGTAAACCATGGGATTCCCATGAGAAAAGATGAGGAAACATATGTAATACCATCAGATTCCTATGAGAAAAGATAAGAGAACCTATGGTAAAGCATCAAATTCCTATGGAAAGATTTGAAAATTAGTGGTAAACCATCAAATTCCTATAAGAAAAGATGAGAAAACCTATGGTAAACCATCAGATTCCTATGAGAAAAGAGGAGAAAACCTATGGTAAACCATCAGATTCCTATGAGGGAACGTGAGGAAACCACGCAAAAACCATCAGATTCCTATGGGAAAAGGTTAGACAACTAGTGGAAAACTATCAGTTTCCTATGGAGAAAAAAGAAAACCCTTGGTAAACCATAAGGTTCCTATGGAGAAAGAATAGAAATTAAATGGTAAACCATCAGAATCCCATGAGGGAATGACAGAGAGTCAGTCACCTCTTCCCAACATGATGAGCCAACCCACAAA